AGGCCGGGGCGGCGGCCGGCGGGAGACTCGGGAGCTGTCGTCCGGGCCAGCAGCCGGCCACCTGAGCCCCGGCAGGAGGGGAAGGCTGAGCCTCTCCGGCGGAGAGGGAGGGGCGGGGGGCGCAGCGAGTTGCTGCGCCGAGCGTGCCTGCAGCAGGCCCCCGCTTGGGTACTCGTGGGGCCTCCGACTACGAGGCGGGGAAGGGGCTGTTGATCGTCTCTGCTGGCGACGTCCAGCAACTGGTAGGAGAGTGCCTGGTTTGCTTTGTGTCGGCAGAGGCCGTCCAAAGCGTGAGAACCCCGGAGCGGTTGGGGGATGCGGGGGAGATTCATCCCACAGTCAGCTGACGAAGAGCGACACAGAAGGAAAGCTGGGTTTGTATCGTCGGGCGCTGCTGACGCTGATCCACTTCGCCTAAGCCGTGCAGTCTTTTTTGGACATCGGTTCCCGGCAGGTGTTACCTTACCTGTAGTCATCAAGACGTTTCTAACAATGAAAAACGCAGCGCTAAGAATGACACGGGCCCCTACTTGCAATACGTATGTGCCCGGTTTTAGCACTGGCTTCCTTGGCCAGGTTACGTCTCAAAAGGTGTAGCAGCACTGCAGAGCTACCGACATAAAAAAGGGACGGTCTGCTCTGATGTGCCCTGTGTAATTATTTGAGGAAAGTATTCCCAGCGAACCATTCTTATGAACAGCTGTTTGTAATAATTTGCTGCTTCTGCAGTTCCCTCTGTCATTGTTCAGTGCTTTAAAGTTTGTGTAGTGTTTGGAGCTGCTGTGGGTAGAACTGTATCTAAAAAGCCATGCTGCTTTTTGTGCAGTTTCATCCTCAGCCTAGTGAGATAAGCAGACCTTCTAACAAAGCATTAAAGCTACTGCAGCCGGAAATACGGTACGCAATTTTCAGTGTTCTGCAATTTAGTACCAGATTTCAGGAGAATACTTAGGCTTAACTAGGGTTACTGTTGATGTGTTCTGGGCTCCTAAGAGCAATGTGGTTAGTTAAAATGAGTTTAATGTGGAAGAGGGCTGAATAAGAAATGCTTCTTACTAGTAAAACTAGTAATCCCTTATTTGATGACTTGTTAGACTGGACTTAATGGTAAGAGAGTCTGCATGCTCAGTATTGTGAGTGAGGTGTCTCAAGGGCCACCTGCTGCTTCTTTTTGTGTGTGGCCAACCCATTTCAGAAAAATCATCCCAGGAAAGTGAATGCTTACATGTTTGTTGTATTTAAAATCTATTTTCTCTAAAACTTGTCTGGACCACTGTATAGATGAAGTAGGCTTGTGCTAGAGATTTTGTTTCATGCAGGGATTTAGTGCAAGAACCTGGAAAGGCTTGGAAGTACTTGGAATTTGGAATACACGTGGTCACAGGTTATATCCTTGTCTGTTGCAGAGGAGGTTGGATGTTTTCTTGTAAAGTAGGTTGCGTCTGAAGAAGAGAAACTACTCAGGCATCATGCCATGGGTTCTACGTAAATTAACTCAAGAAGTAGACCTGTCTTATCACTGTAGTGATCTCAAGGAAAACCTTGCAGTTAAAATGGCAAACAAGTATTAGATTGCCTGAGGAATGAGACTGTAAATAATAGAAAGAAAGTCAAAATGCCCTTAGCAGTTTGACCTGTTACGAATGTCTTGTCTAATCACTGTTGGTCACCTGTAAAGTACCTTGTACTTGTGAGGGACAGAATCTAGTTGTCTAGTTATTTTGTGTTTTTCTTGAAGTATGGCTGTAACTCAAATTAACACAGGCATGAATACATGGGATGGGGGTTCTTTGAAAGGAAATTGCATTTGATGCTTTGGAAGCTGTGACTATGTTACTAAAACCTCAAGGTGATATAGCTTAAGGAATAGGGAAACCCTGTGAAAGAGATGGAATTTTCTTTTGACCACGTGGTACTGTGTTCTTACCTGCTCATCTGAAGCACCTGATGCTTGTGGGGAAAGGAACTTGATTCAGTTACCCAATTCTTATGTAATCCTGCAATGCAAGTGTAGTACTAGTCACGTGAATGCTAAGTACCTTCATAGGTGTGCAAAACATAGTACAAAATCACCGCTCTTCAAACTCACGGGGACCAAGTAGTCCCAAGGAATTACCTCAGAGTTTTTCCTCTTCAGTAGTGGAGGTCTGTAGATACTTTTGAATAATTCAGAATTGATTCTGTTGGAAACGAAAATGTGTGACAGTTGCATTTTTAGACCCATAACTTGTTTTGCTTGCAAATCTGTTGTTTAAAGTCTGGATAAACATGCAAGCTTTCCTGCAAAGAGTTATGTTTGAGATACATCTTGCAGCAGGAAAAGTTAATGCATGTGGCCAATTGTTCCTAATCATTCTCATTTCTGCCTCTAAGGTACACTGTCAGCTGCCTATTAAATGGGAATAAATGAACATATAGAAGACTGAACAGTTATGGTTGTTGTATACAAATCACATGCTCACAAAGCAACAAAACCCTGGAAAAGAAAAGCTGTATGTCCACTTAGTACATGTCTGCAAAAGGGCAGCCTTATTACCAGAACGAAAATACCACACCTAAGGTGTTACAACCTTAACTGCGCATGTGAGAACACCAGCCTTTATTAACCCATATTTCTGCCTTTTTGTGCACATCCTTGAAATCAGCATTAAGGTAAAAGATTTGCATAAAACAGTAAATAAAAGTGTGTGTGTGTTGGGATAACAAGTCCAGCTACTTCCCAACAGTTACATGAGTCTTTTAAATTGCTCTCAGGTTGTGGTTTCACATTGCAGCTAAAGTAATGTAAGGGTGAGTTGCCACTGAAGGAGGTGGTTCAGTCTTCCCCCTTCCCCCAGCCATGTGCTCCTGCTGCTGCTTCTTGCAAAGATGCTAGTGCCTGTTGGATGCTGTTATATGCTGGCATCAGGGGCTATGCAGGCAGAAAGTTAATTACAATTTTTTGTTGATTTTAACTCTGTATCAGCCAATGGGGTTGAATGAATGTCAGTGCTGGCACAAGGAAGGAGGCAGGAAAACCATTTGCTGATGGAGGAGAAGAGGAGAACTTTCCTTTTTCTAGAGCAGTTGGGTTTTTCAGTTGTGACCTAGCATGGGTTTCATGGTATCTTAAACCACTAGGAGCTGGAGCTACCTGATGCTGGCACTGACATTCATTTGAACAGACAGTGAGCTGGTTCAGGGAGCTTGTTCAGCCAAAAGTTAGGGTTTTTTTGTGAAGTTATTTTTCACTTGACTCAGCTGCCTGAGCTCGTGGCTCAGTTGCATTTTTATCGGTGATTGTATTAGCAAGTAGTATGACACAACACAAGTGCTGCTGAGGAGCTGCCATCCACCCTGTGTACGTATTTCAGAAGCTTTCCTTTGATAAAGTTCTGGCCTGGTCCCGTAGACTGAGTGTTAGCTGGGATTCATTAGGTGAACTCCTAGAGTGTATCTTCTAGGTTAGCTTCATACAAAAGAAATCTAGTTGTCTATTCTGGAGCAGCTGCACAGTATGAACCAGAGCAGTGAGGGTGACCAGGAAATTGGCTTCAAAAGTACATTTCACATCTGACCTAAAATGCTAATGTAGGTATGCTATTAAAGTCAGTTCTTGGTGCCTCTGGTGTTGGAGTTGCTTGTAAAAGCTGCAGTCATGCAAAAAATGTGTTGTGAAGTTCGTTACTTGTGCAGGGGATTTCATATAATAGCTGTCCCATTTGTTCAGTTTGTAGAGTTCTTATTTAGGTGATTTAATCACAATGTTTTACGAACTTGCGCTCTTCTCTTTGATTATGAATTGTAGAAACTTCACAAGACAAGAAGCAAATCAGTTGTGCATATGATAGTCACCTGAAATTAATGAGTCAAGGGATCTTGCTTTAAAATACAACATTACTATGAAACAACAAATATGCCAGTATTTATGTGTACTTTCTCTAAAACGAATGAATTGTCATCTTCAGTGTTGGCATTGTATGGCAATGTTACCTGACTGCTAATTTGGTGTTACAAAGTCTTTGAAATGACAGGTGAATCATACAATTACACCCAGTTTCTTCAATTACAATATGATTGCATTAGCCCGTTAAAAACCTAGTATAAAGCCTATTTTTGGCTCTCGTTAGCCAATTTCAAGCTTTTTCTTTGATTTCTAAGGAGTCTTTACAGACAGATTAGTTTTGATTGTTCTTGTCATTGATGGAAAAAATTACTGTCTCTGGTTGTCTACCTCAACTCTCTGTCAGAGTTTGCTGCCTTCACATCAGAAGCTGTAAGAAGGTGCATACCTGTGATGTAGCTGCTTCATTGCAAAGTCTAGAGTCTTAGCGTAAAGCCTCATTCATCAGCTACAATTTCGGCACTGTGCAGAAAAACAGCTAAGGTGCAGGCATATGCTGCCTTCTGTTGTTCTTGGGGTGATAGCTTTTGGCAAACATGGGGAACAGAGAACACGGAATGGTAGCCTCCTTAGATGCGAGAACTCATCTGCTAGCATGTGGTGCCATTATAACTGGAATTATAAGCCATAGTCAAAACATGGGAAAACAAAATTGCGGATTCGTGGTTTAAAATGTTGGCCACTTTGTTGGAGAATGGATGTAGAAAGTGATCTAAGAAGAATAAAAACTTGTTCACAGTGATTTTATTGTTGCAGTTGGTGTTTCAGTGAATTTTCCTGCACGAAGACTACCTGTTTATCAAATCAGTAGAGTTTACTAAATGCTAACTGCAAATGGAAGCTGAGCCAGGGCACGCTTAGGGTTACCTGTGTGGTCGAGACATGCAGAAGACTCAACCTTGTTCTGGTTAATTTGCTGGATTTATTATCTCTTCAGAGCTGGTGGGGTAAGAAGTTAGAACTCCTTATATGCAGCAAATCCCATGCCTTCCTTTCAGCAATTTGGTTTTGGAGTAGATTTAAAAATACACAGAACTTTCAGATCTTTTTAAAAAAAAAAAAGTATGCTGTGTAAAAAGCTTTCCTTTCCTAATACTGACCTTTACCTAATCTGCAAACAAGCCCAAATTTTAAAAAGAAATCACTTAATTGAATCCAACCCCTACATTTTGGGTTTATATTTTTTATTTTAAAGCTTACAGCTTTTCTATGTGACATTTTAAAATAAAATTAGTTTAGATTTCTTCTGAGGCAATATTCACAACCGGTCATTATTAAGGCATTTTTCCAGTGCAGAAATGTATAACTGTAGCATTTTTCTTACTTATAATATTTTGTTAGTCTGAGCACCATAAAGTTGACAAGTCTGTAGCCTTTTATGATTATAATCATACGCAATTTATATATAATATTTAAAGGATGTTTGTACGTACATTATGCTGTATCTCAGTTCTCATTTAGGGAATGAGTTGTTAGAAATTTGTTGTAAATACAAACAGTGCCTGGATCCGCAGTTTAGAGTATCCAGTTTGTGAATTATGGAGGGTTTTTTTCCCCTCAGATGTTAATGTAATAGAGTATTTTTCTTTCCTCTCAGCTGAGCAGTAGGTTAGTTTTGTTCCTCTGTAATGATGAGATGTATAAGCAGTCTACTCTCTGTTAGTGCCAGAAATGGCTCTTAGTCTGCTCTAACCTGTGAATTGTGCTTTGAGTTTTCTGCAGTGTTCTGGTAAAAATGTTTACTTTAATGATGTTACCTTCACAGAGGCTATAGTGAGCTGCAAATTGTTTACAGTTTTTCAGTTTGAGTAATCTCATGTCTCAGCAGAATTTAGTCAGAGAATAATCATTGGTTTTGAAGTGAAAGACAGGAAGTTAATAGCAAAACTTTAGGAGTGTAGATTAAGTCTATTGGACTTACATTTGTTTTCAGCTGATTTCTCAGTGTAATTGTTTTTCAGCCTTTGAAATTGACTGGCATTCATACTGTATAGTCACTTATATAGTAAATAATTCCTTCATAATTCTGAATGCCAGCACAGCACTCAGCTAATTTCAAGTATCACAGCTCAGCTTTGTTTGAAAACAGTATATTTTTTTCTTTTTAAACATGCTGTCGGATGACAGCAGGGATGATTAATACCCATTCTGGCATGGCTGGATAGAATTCTAAAATCTATTCAGAAATATCAGGGCCTTTGGCAAACACAGCTGTCTTAGAATCAAGTTAGCTGTACAAAATTATGGATTGTAAACTTGATCTCTTTCCTGTAAAGGTGATTCTTTTGTATTAGAAGTTTTGAGCACTTCACCCACTGTCTGTGAAAAATGGCAAGTGTGTCTTCATCTGAGTCTGATCTTCAATAAATATTACTGCAGATACTGTGAAATGATAGGACTTTGCCGGCAGTCTCTATGACTTTTCAATTATATTTGCTAGCTTTCAAAATATTAGTCCTTACAGACAAGTTTCACACCTATTGGGTCATAAATATTTGCCGTTTAGATCAGCCCTTCTCATAGAATTCCTAGACTTCAAATTGGAGTTCTGCTCTGTGCTTAAATGAGTTTGAAGTCAGAAGTGAGTGTAGGAGCAATATGTTGACTATCAAATTTTTCTCACTGGAGTTCCAGTAATGATTAGTGTAAGAACGTATTTCCCACTTATTCTTTTTCCTTTAGCATTTCTTTAGACCATGGGGCTATTATTAAGCCAGTGGTGTCATTCTTTCTGAACTAACTTACTGAGTTGGTGATAATGTTTGTGACTTGCTTGTTTTTCCAGTTGGGTTTCGTATCTAAAGAGTTAAATTATCCCCCGCACTTCTTATACAAAAAAATACATTATGACTTAGGTGTGCCTGTCTGTGTATAGGAACTGTGTTTTGATAGGTTAAAGGACTTGGAAAAGATGACAGTCTGACCTGAATTTCTGAAATGATTGACTTCTGACATCTAAAATGCTCCTGAAGTATAGTAACAGCAATGAGTAGGCTCAGTTTCAAATATATTTTTCAAGTTCAGTAATCCCAGAAAAGGGTGACCAGGACTGAGCTGTGTAAAATTTAGCATTAGGTGCTGACTTACTCCAGCTTCAGACTATTAGTTGTGAATTTTGTAGAAAAGTCTGTTCTTACCGCAATAGTGCGTATGACTTTGTTTTTTCTGAATTAAAATGTCTTAAATCATTTAAGACCTAGTGTTAGCAGCTCTGTTCTGAGTCTCAAATGTAGCTCTGTGAAGCTGCAGTTTTTAGAACTTTAAACTGAGGTGTGTTTAAACTTTGATAGACACATTGTTAAGACTTGTTAAAACAGATGGAGATGGGAAAGCAGCATAAAGTAATGGGCACAGTAGCTTCAGGTAAACTTGTACGGAAGTGCTCGGGAATAACAAGACCAGATCTGAGCAGTCCTATTTGGCCAGGCCACAGCACAACCACTAAATCTCAGATCAGAGAATGCCTTAATCTTCATTTTACATTAGCAAAAAGCCAGAAGCTTGTGTTCATTCTTCGAGGCTTTTCTGTCTTACGTTTGTTCTGGCATAGTGATGAAAGGTGATGTGTGGAGAAAATATTGAAATCAAAAAAGTAAGAAAATGAGTATTAACAAGGAACATCAATCACTGGAATGCTTCCATTACAGAGGAGGTCTGAAAGGAATCAAAATGTCTATATAAATGCTGCTCTCTTCAGCATTTAGCACTTAAGTAGAAATTTTGCAGGAAAAATACTCAACTTAGTGCTGCATGGCAGGAGCATCCACAATTAGAACGTCCATGTGACCTCCCTCCCACTATTGGTTATTGGAGTAATAATTTGAAATACTAACTGTATTATTGCTGTCAGATACCTCTCCAATGCCTGCTGAAGCTAGATGCTGTCTTGGTGCTTATGTGTATACTTTGGCTGCTACTGGTTGTTCCAGAAGAGACAATCACTTGAAAGTTATAGAATCATCCTGGAGTCTCAAATTGTCGCAGACTGACTCAGGCATTGAGAGTTCCTGCTACAGTGTGTTTTTTCATCTCCTATTGCTTGAACTCTTCATGGCACCATCGGGAAAAAGGAGACACCCTTGTTTTGAGGGCAGTTCTTGGCAGCCTGGTATGTGAATATGTCTTTCCCTTCTAAGGAGGGTTTCTTTGGGCAAGGCACAGAAGTTGGAGTTGCAAGTGCTCTTAATGCAACATTCTGTTCAGTTGCTCCATCTCTACCTTTTCTGCCTCTCTTAAATGCAAAGCATGCAACTTTCTTGAGGCTGCAGCCTTACAAGAACTTTAGAGTCAAATGAACAAACTATTGCTATCAGCCACATATTCCCATGTGCCTTGTAGCTGCTGAGGTGTTTGTTGGTTGTACAGTAGACAGATTCAGTTTAATAAAAGAGTAGCACAGTAACTTTTAGCTGGCTTACTGAGTGGAGTAATCATACTGTGTGATCAGATAGATGAGCAACAAACAGTTAGTGCTCAGGAATGGGGAACTGTGTAGCTGAGAGCAGAGGAGGGAGGAGCTGTTTAGGTTAAGTAGTAATGTGAAATTGCATGGGAAGAAGAGACAGGTATGTGGAATATCTCCTTCTTTTAAAAGAACCTCTCTTTGTGCATCAAGAATTAGAAATGGTTCTTGTAGGTCCCCAGGCTGTCTTTTGCTGCTTCAGATTTTTTTTATTTCCAGTTCTTCTTGCTGCTTTATTACCATTACTGCTTGTAAGGTACCTTTCTCATGAGTACCTTCTCTGCCAGAACAGCAGTAGAGAGAATCTTAATGCAAGCAAAGAGCAACTCTGCCTTGAGGTCTTCCAGCTGTGACTTTTTACTTGAGAGGATAGTAGTTGCTTTCTAAGTGAGTCTTCATCTGGCTGTTTGGATTTTCCTTTGTTGGTGCTATTGAACGCGTCAGAAAGGAATGTGCTTCTTTATGCTGTCCTCTTTTTGAGAGTATTTGGCAATGACTTGTTTATGAGTTATAGTCAAGTAGGACAGTGTATGGCTCTAGATCTTTGGAGAAGTGGCTGCTTTAAATCAGTATCTTGAACTTTTTGTAGTTGCTGTGCAGCTGCCTCATCTTTGTGGATTGACTCATGGTGGTTACCATGTACTACCAAATCAAGAAGGGAACCACTGACCTCTAGAGAGCTGTGGAGCTCTGCATAAGAGTCTCTGCAGGTAAGATTCATGTGTATGGCTTTTAACAGCTTTTGCAGGAGCTGTTAGGAAGACCACAGACTTTGATTGAAAATGGAAAAATCAAAGCTACTGCATTAGGAAGTGTCTTTGATAAGTGAGGCTAATCCACCATAAACATATGTGCTAGCAGGAACAACAGGAGATGCTGCAGACTGCTTTTGGAATAGGTTGAAGTCAGGAATGACCTAAAATACAACTGGTTCAAAAAGTACTACAGTAGGTGAAAATTCTACGTGTGGGGTTTTTTTGTGTGTGTGTGGTGTTCAACATATTTGCTTGTTAAGATACATATTTATTATGTGCATCTGTCATAAATAGGAGTTTGAAATTTTCAGTGCTTTTTGTTTGTTGCTTTTCTATTAACAGTGTGAAAGCATGACTCCAAATCTGCCAACCCCTGCCAACTCAGGGAATGGACACTTGTAAAACATCCCAAAGTACAGGGGCAGAATGATTCCTCTGAGGCTTAAAATACTGGGTCATTTTTTTGAACAGCTAATTCTTTATTTCTGATGTGATTAATTCTGAAATTTCATTTGATTGAAACATGTTTGGACCTGAAATGACCTGTGGAATGGGAAAGTTTTGTTCTAAGTATCTATAGAGAATTAATTGTCAGAGCTGATGAGTAGCTTTTTCTTCCTGTTGGTATTCTAGCAGTCTGCTTCCACTGTGGATGCGTGCGGTGTGAAAATCAAGGGTGGAGAAATATTAGGAGAGGCTCAGACAGTAGGAGACTCTAAGTAGTTCATTGCCAGAGAGCGTGTGTCATCTTGGAAGTCCTCCAATACTATTGGTTTTATTTCTTTAAAGGCCTGTGTTCTCAAGCCAGGTTTGTGGCATTGACTGAGATCCATCTTCATGGAACAGTCAGTAAGACTTAAAAGGAAGACCTTACTAGTTCTTATGCAACAAAGTACCACAATGTCCCAAATATACTCTGTGCCTGGGAATTCTTAGTATCAACTAATTAACTATTATTTACTACTATGCTTCTTAAGTACCTAATAAGATAAATGTATGTATTAGAGGTAAGGCTATACTTGCTGTTCAGCACATACACATTTCCTACTTCACGCTTATTGAATTAAATACAGCAGTTCTTTATATCCTTCATAAATGCATTTTGCAAATGATCTTCAGATAGGTGTAAGACTGTTTAAATATTTATCATGTACTGCTATTAATGCTGAAACATAGAATTCAGAGCAATACCTGAACTGTTTCTTTTCGTGGTGTTTTTTTGTCCTGTCTCCAATTTTTTTTTTCTTCTTATGTGCCACCATGTGCCAAGGTTTGTGGAGCCTAGCAGAGAACTGGGTCAGTGACTTGACTTGGTTAAAAATAACTCATCAAGAGAAGGATCTTTGTCAGTTCTCCTGTCTTGTTCCTGCTACGCAGTGCTGTCAACAACTGTTGCATCTGAGAAGCTACATGTCAAGTGAGATTTTTCTGAAGAAAAGTTAAAAATTCTAGATGAATAACTAATCAGTATTGCTTTGTCCAGTTGATGATAGGTGAAAGACTGTAGTTAGAAAACTGTGTCAGGCTGTGGTCTGCAATTAGTGAGACAGATTGAGATAAATGAAGTGACAGGAATTGATGCATTGAACAGTGGTTGCAGAATAACAAGATTACAGTGTAATGAATTGTGAGGAAAGAAAGTTACTCAACCTGGGAAAAAAGCACGAAGGAGTTTTTCATATGTTTTTGGTATGTAGTGACGGTCAGGTTTTTCTTCTGCTATAATAGCAATGATTAGGAAATATTTTTTCTCAGCTTCCCTTATACATCTCCAGATTACACTGCACTGTAGAGGTATGGTTAATTTTTGTTGTAGCTGAGGTGAGCAGATTACATGACTTCAGAAGAGCACTTTTGTAGGACAGCATATTCTAGTACACAATTTGAGGCTGTATGGCAATAAACTTTTAATTTGGAAAACATCCTGTCGTATCTGTTTAATGCTTAAGTTTGCAAAGGGCTTTAGAATTCTTATCAATGAATTGCTGCATATGAGATACAGAAATAACATTTTTGACATGATAATGTTTTTCATTTTAAACTGTGAAACAAAATCAGTCTGTATTCAGTTACGTTTTCATTAAATAACCTAAAACTGAATACAGGTTATTCTTTTTTAAAATTTTAGCTTTTTTTAAATCTGAGGTAAAACATTAGTGGTTTTTTTTTTTAATGCATTGCTTGCTTTTCATTAAATGTTATTGTCAATATGCACAGTAAAACTCAAAAATCATGTACTAAATACTGAAGCACAAGTATATTCATATGTTCTGGTTTAACTCAAGCTTGTATCATATATTGTAAAATGAATGTGAAAACTTGTTTTGCACCTCTGGTGCATGGTTTATATTGTTCATGGTGATTGTTTCATTTAAACATAAGAGAAGGGTTTTGTACTGTAAGGGTGATCAAACACTGAAAGAGGTTGCTCAGAGAGGTTGTAGTCTTCCTCCTTGGATATACTCAAAATCCAACTGGACATGGTCCTAAGTAACCTGCTGTAGCTGAACCTACTTTGAGCAGTGTCAGTGGAGTGGGTGATCTCCAGAGGACCTTTCCTAGCTCAATTATACTGTGCTTCTACATAGGGTTTCTTTGTGTTTATTAATTAAAAAAAAAAAAAAAAAGTCTTACACCAACAATGCAAACGTGAAAATTCCTGCCAAGTCACAGTAGGACTACTAGAATACCTCAAATTAAGAATGTGTTAATAAAATTAGGACCAAAATGTATATTCTGAATCCCAGTTCTTCTTTCTTGCTTTGTATCAATACGTTTGTTTTGGTTTTTGTTTTGTTTTTTTTTTTTGTGGGTAGGTCTCTGTGTTTATGTCCTAGTTTGGATGAGGTGATACAAAAGGTCCTCCTTTGAGCTTGTTCATTCCTCCCTCCCATCAGCATATACCATGTGTGTTGTAGCTTCCAGCCTTTGAAAGGTGCCTTGAAGTCTTGCCTCTTACCACCCTCTGGTATGGAACAGTAGGTACTTTAGTAAAGTCTCTCCAAGTAGATGAAAATATTTTTATCTTTACTATGTAGGTGACATGCATGTTGCTTCATTTATTGTTTTACCATTGAAGTCATCCCTGTTTAAATACTGTTGTACTTTTGCATGAATAATATTTACAGATAATGGGCTTGATTTGTCTTGTAGAAGAACCTGGGGGCAGGTGGACTGTGATATTCTGGAAGACTCTCCCAGAGAGGTTTTCTGAGTTCTGGAAAGTGTGTTTCATTTGATACAGATGTGATTTGTTCCACTTCACCTGGAATTTTTAAAGGTTCTCAAGTCTTAGGTTTTTTTGTTCACAAACGTTTCCAAGTTCAAGGACCTCTTATTTGAGACCTGTAAGAGTTCTAGAAGGTATGTGCTTGAAACAGTGCCCTTTGTCAACATACTGCTTCCTGTGCAAGTCCAGTCTGCGCCAATTCCTGATATTGTTGATGCTGCTGTTACTTCTTTGCAGTATGATGACTGAGTGTGCAATTTCATAATTTACAGCTACCGCACTGAGGTTGTTTTTTGTATCGACAGGTTCCAGCAGTTCTAGAGCTTCAAAAAGTTGTTGGCCTTAATCTGGTTAATTGCAGTAGTGTGACCTCAGGATCTTCATATTTAAGGAGATGAAAACAGTCATGGAGCATTTTGTCTTGAAGATGGCTCTGCATTCCTTGAAGAGTTTAAGGAATTCCTTATCCTCTCTTTTCCTAAGAAGATGAAAGCCCTAACCATAAATCTTGGAAGCTATCCCTTGATTATTTTGTTATTATCCACCACCCCACCCCCTTTCCCCCCTGGTCACTATAGCTTATTACCTGTTGAATATTTAAATCCTCTTTCAAGGAGATTATAGCTAGGCTGTTTTGAGTGTGTTCAAGCATGCTGTCAGTCCACAGAGGAGTTTCCACTAGAAGTTTGCATTTAATGATTTTACTCCACCTTCAGTCATGTTTCTGATTGGGTTATATTCTGTGTTTGAAATAGAGGACTCCTTTAGCTATCTATGGGTGGGTTTGACAGCTACTTGTTCAGCAGCAAAAGGGTATTCTTTTCTGTTGGTTGTTTTGTGGTTGGTTTTTTTTGTATCCTTTTTCCTTTTTGTGATACACTAGATGTAAGTATTTTCTACATTTATATCTATTTACTTTGAATCCGTGCTTGTCTTTCCTTTCTTATACTTACTTGCCGTGGTAGCTTAATTATTAATTCAGTTTTTAACTGAAACTTTTTTCAATCTGGCAGTACTGACTAGCTCTAAACAAGATAATTTCTAGTCCAGCATTGGCTTTGAAATTGCCCAAAGCCATTACTGCCTAATGATTCCATAGCCTCCAAATACCTGCATCATTGCTTCCTTTCATAAGAAGCTTTTCCAGAGTCTGCTCAGTTATTCATCTGTCAATGCTAGGCCATTGGATCCACAAGCTTTTTCTGTGTTGGGTGTAGTCAAGTATGTGGATGTTCATCAGTCTTCCAGGATACAGTGCTTTAAAAAAGGAATTGTTCTTGCTGTTGCACTGGTTTTGATTGCTACCTGTCTCTTGAATCTCCACTGCTTTAGTTCTGCCAGTTATTTAAACTTAGTGTAAGTATTTTAGTTGGCTACAGGCAATTTATTTTAGATGTTGATGCCTCAGTGTTTTTATTGAGTTGTCACCTGTCAATTTACACTGTCACTTCTTTCCTCGTGGCACTTTTTGTAGTCCAACCAACCTATTGAAACTAATTTATTGTAGTCAACTGAACTGAATTATTTCCTTTTAGTTACTGTACTTTATAAAATGCCCTGTTATCCCCTGACTTCTGTCCATACATCATGCTGCAGAAATACGATAATGGGAAAATACAAATGACACAGGTGCTGTAGGACAACGTGAGAAGTATAATGCAGACATAGTCAAGTGATTTAATGCAGCTAGCTTCTGTCCAGCAGGATCTGAGCTGCATGCACAGCCCTAGACCTGCTGATCCTCTTGGGTCTTGCTGATCCTCTTGGGTCTTCCTTGGGACTAAGTATTTGTCAACTTCCCACACCTTCCTGTGACAGGTTTTACAACAGCTTATTTTCAAGAGGTCCTAGAATCCTGGTGCATGGTAAGGAAATACCCAAGCAGCTTTTTGGTGAGCCGTATCTAGCTCAGCTGTAGTTAATAAACCCATCTGTTTGATTGTACAGAGTTACCAAAGTCTGTTTCCTGTTTCAGCAGTGCTGAAGCACACAGACTAACTCTTTGTGGATCATGTACTTCAGTTGCTGCTGTGTGAAAATGTAGCTGGCTTTTTCCACTTGGAACTTGCTTGCAAGCAGGGCTCCTCTGCCCTTTAGAACTGTGTCCTCTGAAAGCTGGGAAATCTTTCAGGATGGCTTTCTCTAAGCCCAGTAACAGTCCGTCCCAGTAGTTAGAAAAATGAGCAGATGTGTCAAGAGCCCAGATTTGCCAAACAGGGAACTTATGACTGAGCTCTGGTGGGAATGGTGAGGAGAGAAGTTAGCGCCCATGAATGTAGATGAAGTTGAGATTCTCAGTGCCTTCTCTGCATTGATCTTCACAGATAAGGTCTCATGGGCCTTTGTGCCTGGAGATGGGATTGAAGGAGGAGAGAAACTAGTCGCACTACAAGAAGATTGATGGATCTCTTGAGAAATCTCAAGTTCATGGGATTAGATGGGATGCTTCTGAGGGTGCTGAGAGAGCTAGCTAATGTCATTGCAAGCTGGCTTTCTCTCTGAATAGTTGTGGAGATCAGGGGTGGGCCTCAATGACTGGAGAAAGACACGTTGCAGCCATCTTCAGGAAGGGCAGGAAGGTTGATTTGGGGAACTGCAGGCTGGTCAGCTGCACTTTGGTCCCTGAGAAATGGTGGAGCAGGTCTGCTTGGAAGCCATTTCTGGGCATATGAAGGTGAAAACAGTAATTAGGATTAGCAAGCATGGATTTACCAAGAGTACTTGTCAACCACATCGTCTGCTGTGATGGAAAGACTAGAACTGTGGTTGAGGAGAGAAAAGCAGTGATGTCATCTACCTTGACTTCAACAAGGCTTTCACCATGGTGTCCAAGAGCATCCTTGTGTCTCATTTGGAACATTACAGTCTAGATGAGACTGCTAGATAGATAAAAAGTCTGGATCATGGAGCTCAGGGAGTCTGATTTGGGATGTGTCATGCTTCATATCTTACCAGTGACCTGGCACAAGCAGGAATGCACCCTCAAGTTTGCAGGTCTTCAGTGTGGAGGGGTGTGCAGTCAGTATGTTTGTATACATGGCTGCTGTCTGGAGGGACCAGAATTCATAACAAAAGACAAAACCACCTTTCTGTTATATTGAATACCAGGGGAAGAAAAGGGAATAACACCACTTCTTTGTTGTATTTCTTAAATGAAATGGCATCTGTTTGGCATTGTTTGAAGAACCTGAAGTTCTGCATTCTCCTTCAATGCTGAAATCCATGCATGTGTGTGGATACTTCTTTGTGCTCTGAATGAATGCTTTATAGGTTTGTTTTATAAGTTAAAAGTTGAGCTATAGCAAGCTTGTATCAGAAGAGGCTGGAAGGTACTATTTGCTATTGTCTAGCTTTTTCACTTTTTATAAATTCTAACCTCGTTACTGAAATTCTTCAGGGAGAAATCTGGGTGCAGAACATTCCTCTAACTTGATCAGTAACACACTATTCAATTTTGTCTGAGAATGATTTGAAAGTCTTCATTTTGTGTTTCTGGATTACATCTGAATATAATACTAAAAATGTTGAATGCTATTCCTTTTCTGTTGGAGTTACTGAGGCTGAACAATAGAGCTGTTATTGGAATAGCTAATAATGGCATAGGATGTTTATTACGTGCTTTCTTGTTATTTGGGGGGGGGGGGGTTTGGTTGTTTTTTTTTAAACAGGAACATGACCCCAATTACTCTCTCTTACTGTGTCTCACATCAACTCTGTAGAACCTCTAAAACCTAGGTGAAAGAAAAGGTCGATAATTGGGAAAAACTTAAGTTTTAGACTTGTTGTTTTTGCTGGTTGTGAGGAATCACATACTCTGACTCATGTCACGTAATATTTAGAGATTGCACATGAAGTTGTTACTGAAAGGTTGTACATAGGAAGTTGTTACAAGCATTTAATGCAAGGCGTGCTGCTCTTAAATGTATGAAATTGCCTCTGTAGAGCAGTTTGCATTTTAAGTTTCTTTGTACAAGTAACTATGTGTTTTGTTTCAGATTATGGAGCTCTGTGGTGCAACAAGACTTGGCTATTTTGGAAGAAGTCAATTTTACATTGCTTTGAAACTTGTTGCTGTGGCCCAGTCTGGTCTCCCTCTAAGAGTGGAAAGCTTAAATACAGGTAAATCGCAGGACTGGGGGGGGTGGAATTAAGTTGTTAAGCGGAATTATTGTCCTTGGTTCACAGATTCTTGTAGAGTGACCTTGTAAATTAGTGTAGTATGTCTTTTTATATATGTTGCTAACTTAAAAAAACAAAGTGGAGAAACTGTGAGGGGGTGTATTCTTACTATGCAATAAATAGGAGGTGAAATACCTTACTCTTATTGAATAAGTATTATGTTCATCACAGGGTAAATGAACAACTACTGCTGACTTGTGTAGGTTCAAGTTCATTCTATAGATTACTAATGTGAGAACTTGTGTGCTATCTCCTCTGAATAAAGTACTAATAGGACTAATGTGAATTGGAACAAAAAGAAGAATGCAACATTTGCGGGATTTTGTAATTGCTGAGTTTATGAAGCCTTGATTGCAACAAATGAAAGGTCATCTTTTCTAAAGTCATATTCCTTTGCATTTGGCTTGGCAGTTTTCTCCCTTCTTAGTGCAAATATGTAGATTAGTGGTTTAAGGTTTTTCTAGTGAAAAACCTGACCTGTAAAAGATCTTTCAAGTCTGTTATCAGCCAAAACACCTGTTATCCTACTTTTCAAAGGTCAGCTGTGGTGTGGGTAGTGAAATAGGAACAGGAGAAAGACTCTTTCTGGGAAGATGGTTCAGAACAGCAAACAGCAGAAAGAGTTTTGATATGAGGCTTTACTGTAGCCTTCTGAGTGACATAAGCGGATCCATGTCAGTGTTGCTCTGTAAGATGAAAAGAGACCTAGGAAGATGAAGTAGTGAGTTTAAGCCACTGTAGCCCTTTGCAGTGTAGTACATGACTTGCAACTTAAAAATATCTGGAGCACAGCTTTGCATTAAGGCGACTTCCCTAGTAGATTTTGTCTAGAATACATGTTATGATAATATATATGCGCTAGTAGTTAAAAGAAAGCTCTAGGAGTTTTTTGTGTCTAAATTATACAGATTAAACACAGTAGTTAAGAAGACTATATTAAAAACAATCTGATAGGTCTGAGGTATTTGACAAAGCTATAAAAAAGAAAGGAATCATCTTGTATACTTTTACAGTTATGTTTATTCTAGGCTCGTACAAACACTATATACTGTTTTCACGGGTTTTTGTAGCTTTTTGGAAAAGTACATCGTTTCAGTTAACTTTTTGCTACTGTACAAGTTCCTTTCTGCTCACAAGCCACCCTATGTTTATAAACCATTTCCCTAGTTTTCCTGATGAGTGTTCCCAAATCTAAAGCTTCAGCAAGAATGCCCTAGAATCAGAAAGTTGGAAAAGGGACCTTTGACTCTTAATATCTGATAGAACTGGAACTTGATGTAACAATTGTGGGATTTCTCATCAAATGCCTGTTGAAGAAGGCAAAGACTAAAATCTGTGTATGTACCTTTTTCCAGGGGTTTCATATGCTTGGTTTTATTTTAATGCAAGATACCTTAACTGGAAGGAGCTTTTCTAATTAAAAAAAAAAAAGTCAGAAGAAATTTGAGGGAAGGAACTGAAATAAAGGTACAGGATTCATTCCAAAATATCAAATGTTGCTGTAAAATTAGCAGCCATTGGGACTTCTGTAATGGAGTACATCTCCTTGATTCATGACAATACTAGAGATACTTGTAATGGTTTCTGGACTTCTAGGAATAATTTTCTGTAACTGGCTCCAGACCTACTAAATACAACAAGTACAATTGACAGAACATTTATTTTTACCCTAACTGTTTTTAGCTTTGGTTGTCTGTTGCCTTGGTTGCAGTGGTTCCAGTCCTGTCTGTGAAGTTCCTGCTCCTAGGATGATTCAAGTGTTGTTGTAGCAGCTAACTAAACAGCTAAAATACGGCAGGCTGAAGACTTACAAAATGATTCTGAGCTTGGGTTACCTTCCTTTGAAAACTGGGGTTTAGCAGCCTGGCCAGCTGTGTTCTGCCCACAGTCCATCTCCACGAGGTCTTGAAAAGGAACTGTTAGAGCCATCCCTAACTAAACAATATACTTTTTCTCTCTTCAAAGTAAAACATCTAAAATTAGTTAAAGCTTATATTTTAGGATGTCTACTTTTTAGTTCTGCATTCTATGCATGTTTTAATCAGTGATTTTTCTTAATGTTGTTCACTCTTTTATCATGGTATTTTCTCCCCCCCTTCTTGTTTCTTTTGTTCTTTTGTTCACTGTGTGTCTCTTCAGTAGACAGAAAGCTTGCTTCATGTGAGTTGAGTGGAAACTGCAGTCAAATTTTGAGTACTAAGTCCGTCCAACACGAGTGCCATCCAATTGATTCTTAGTTAACAACATGCTTTTTTGATTACTCAGATGTCCAGTGTAGTAAAAACACTGGCTTTAGTTATTACACTACCAACCTCTAAATCTGTTGTTCCTTTGCTGTCCCAGAAAATTTTCCTTCCTGGAAGGAAAAAGTTGAGAAATTAATGAGCAGCGTCTCTTTCAAAGTAATGTTTATTTTCTAAGCATGGAATACAGTTTTTGGTGAAGAAAATGCTAACAAGGATGTGGGCCTAAAAAGTACAGAGAACCTTCTAATTTATTCAATATCAAGATTCAATTCCATTCAGAACAGCTATCACATTTATAATTGAGGGATTTCTGAATGGTAACAAATGTTGTAGTGTAGACAGACAGGACGGAGGTAAAAATGACAGATTTCAATTTTCCATGTAGTAAATTAGTACAGCAAAACAAACCTATATTTATCTAGTCTTATTTTTAAAGAAGACAATAGAATATTTTGTGTTCCTTCTGAGCCCTCTATACTATTTTGTGAAATAGTGCTAGATATCTCATGCCAAAGCCTCGTGTTGGAACAACCGATTGCATAGACTTCCCCTCTGTCAGTTGGCTGTTCTAGTGTCTGTGTTATCCCGTTTTGCAAGCATACAAATTTTCACTTGTATGAATGACTTTCTCACTTTTTGGCTGGCTGTAGTTCAGTGTTTAGCTATGTGAAAACTTTGCTAGTGCAACATGGGATACAATGCTAATGTGAAAATTGGCATCTAGGAACAAGGAGGGCATCAGGAATTGCTTTAACAGTGTTTCCACATGATGGGTAACCACAAATTTAGCAAAGAGGCTGTGTTGCATGCTCTTTCCCTGTGATGAAAGCTGTTTGGCATGTTGAATTGTGCTCAGTGACAGAGGCTTAAATCAAGAATTTATGTTCTTAGTGGAGTGTTGTTGTTTAGTACTGGATACATAAAGATGTCTATGGATACATAGTTGTTGAATACTATGGATTCAAATGACACTCTTCAGATACAAATCAGTTTAATGTTTAATTTTTTATGTAATAAACTGTATGCAATTTCATCTCATAGTTTAATACAGTTGGTAGTACCACTGACTCATTTTCAGTACCAAAAGGAATCGAAGTAAGCAGTCAGCAAGAGAAATTAGATTTGAGCCATACTTGTAAATTTGTTTTGTGTTGGAAAAATAATTTCGAAGTAAGCTGTACAGCAAATTTGCAATTTATTTTTATTCACAGTGGACCATTAAGAAAGTTGTGGTTGGGATTCAGAAAAATGTTAGAAATCTTGCAGTGAAAAACTGAAGACTTACATAGCCTCATTTTTGTATCAGACTACTCTGAACCATGGTACATAAAGCTAAGGACTTCCTAGCATCTTGTAGAAACTTTGCTTTATAGGTGTTTGTAACAAAGGGAGGTCATACTGGAATTTTCCCAGTTGTATTCCAGTAAAACAGCTAACTTCTATTTTAGAAAGATGTACACAGCTGTGTTTAAGCAATAGTTGCAATTTTTGCAAGATGACTAGATTATATTATCTGTTGTAAATATAAACATGACGTCAGCTCACTAAAAGATGTTAAATATACTGCCGTATTGTAGTATTTGTTTTGCCGATGAACCATTCTGTATGAAGAATCTAATTTTATGTATTTGCTAGAAATGGTAGATAAATTTTGAAAATCACACTTCAGTAATTAAATGTTGGCAAAATTAAAAAAAAAAATGAGCTAAATCCAGATTATCTGATTGCTACTGCATTTAATGCAGAGTTGTAGTGCAAAACTGTTATGAAGCTCTGTGAAGTCCTCGTTGTATACCAAAAGCAGAACTTGGGTAGCAGAATTGTGAAGTATAATGCAGAAAGGGTATTTGCTTTTTTTCCAGCTGGCAGATGTTGGCTTGACTATAGCAGCAATCTCAGTGTTTCAGTAACTGAGGAACATGTGAAATTTTAACTACAAAATAGAACTGCATTTTTATTTTTAAGCATCGTACTTCTGTATAGTAAATGGCCTGCTCAATTATTTTTTTTTAACAGTAAAGGACCTCCCTCTTCCCAGATTTGTTGTGTCAAAGAATGAACAAGAATCAAGACACACAGCCTTGTATTCTTCAGATGCTGATAACCCCGCTTCATACTCAGGTGTGATTCCTCCTCCACCTGGCAGGATACAAGTCAAAAAAGGCTCTGTGAGCCATGATGCAGTTCAGCAACGTACATCAACTGATCAACAGGTAAGTTAACTTAAAAGATTAAATGGAACTCCTAACAACTACTTTGCTGCATAAGTGTCAGTTTGATAGGACTTCTAAGCTTTGTTGCTTTCAATATAGTTTCTTTAAAAAAAAACCACTGATATATATTCTACATGAAGACCACATGTGCTTCTGAAATACTTGCATGTCGGATGCCTTTTTTATGAAGTTTTATAATCTGTGTTTAAAATATTGATGGTAATGGACAAAGAATTGAGACAGAAAAGAAATTCAATGTGTAAGACATGATAGCAAATACCAAGTTGTAATCATTATGATATTAATACCTTGTTTATTAGATAGTTCACATCGGCTTCCTGGTCATTGGAACAGTGGTACTGAATGCCATGGAAGACTGGATTTCTAGTCCTTCAACATGCTCCCATACCTTTAAATCTGAAATACTTTATTTAGAAAGCTTTTTTTTAAAATCTCACATTTACTTTTCTCTGCTTTACATTTTATTGTTCAGCTATTTAATTGTTAAGTAGAGACAAGAAGAACCAGAAATAATAGAAGTTTTCACAGAGCTTTTTATTGTGTTCTAATAATGAGAAAACTGATTTCTTTTTGCTCACTGGTTCTTTCATCTTCAGCTACAGGATATCTGAATAAATGAAAACTGTAAAGGCTTACAACTCTGTGCCTCCATAATTCCTTGTTTTTCATAGTCTTTACATTCTCTTTCCATGGGGAAGTCTTTTCTGATTATTTTCTACAAGCAAGAACACCGAGTAGAAATACTAAATTTTGCTGGGTGTATGTGTGTCGGTGCATAACTGATGAATGACCTGTTTTATTCCCCATGGTATGCTCTTTTTGGGACATGTTTTGTAAGGAATTGAGGAACTTGCAAACATTCCTTAATCTCTCTGGGAATCAAGGCATCGCTCATAAACATTTATTAATCTCTCTGGGAATAGCCCAGACTGATCCAATGTAAAGAAAAAGCAAATTAGCAGAGGCCATCCATAATCAATGTTTGGCTGCCACTTCCTTTCTCCCAAACTGAAGATGAGGACTGTAATGAAAGGAGGGCTGGCAGCAGATCTGAAGATAGCTTGTTGTTGTCTAGTTTTGCGTAGGTGTGTTTGAGAGAGTCCTAAGCGCTTCATGACAAAATCAACAATTGCAGATCTCCTTGATCTGATGATGGGGTTTTAGTTTGGTTGAAATAGTGTTTTGTAGGCTTCCATCATGGTGTTGAGTTTATTTAGTGAACAGCTATAATCTGATACAGGAATCTGTACTGGTGTAACTTTAACAAAAAAAACCCTGGTGTTTGAGGTCTTCAAGTTCTGGATAAAGAAGCCACATATTCACAAAGATGTATAAGCATCCAAATTTCATTTCTTCATCTTGGCTGATAGAAGCAGCTTGGTATCTCTCTTTTGCACAAGTCTGTATGGGATCATCAGAATAAACTCTGTGCATAAGTCCTTTGAGAGATCTGGCCCAGAAAACAGACTTGGAGCAAATGTAATGGACAACACAGCAGTGAGTCCAGCAGTTTTAAGCTGTATTCATGGTCTAGGACATCAGGGAAGTACTGCCTGATTTTGCACCCTATTGTAAAATTGCATTTTCTGTGGCTGATTCTACATTTCTGACTCTACAGTGAATCCATTCAAGCAGCCTTCTTGTCCCAGTCTAATATTTATTGGTATGGACACCATGTTAGAAATAATTTGAGAAAGGGGCTTGAGCCCAGGTTTCTCGCTTAACCACATAAATACTCTAATTGGGTTATTTTCCAAAAGGCAGATACAGCTTTTATCCATGTTTTTTGTAGAAATTGCTGATCCAGTTGTCTTTACCTGGAGATACCACTCAGATTTATAAAACATAGAAGGAGGTTCAGATTGTGAATTCTCATTATGTGCCACCTCTTTTGGTGATGAGGATAAGAAGAGCTGAAGTCTGAGAAGTAAATTACAGCATGTCATTTTCCTAGGGATCATTGTTCTTTCTGGAGGAATTTAAGTGTCAAAGTTAAGCTTGGATGTTTCACTCTTAGAGCCTGTCATGTAGCTGTTACCAAACTCACTAATGGAGTATCTGTTGGGGGTTTTTTTGGGTTTGGGGTTTTTTTTGTTTGTTTTTTTTCTTAAACTGTTGACTGGCTTTGATAATATGCCTGGCACTTCAAAATACATTGATTTCATAAAATACTCTGGCTGAAATATCTTATGATTTCATACAAATAATATCTTAATCGTCATCTTTAAAAACTGGGTTCATTCCTGTGCAGCTTTCCATACTGGTGAGATTTGTCATGCATAGGTTAATATCTTATAATTACAAATAATTTATGTAAAAGAATTTCACTTAGAGTATTGTCTACTGAAATGTCCTAGCTAAAACTATATCAACGCATTATTGTGGCACTTCCCCTCAATGAGCTTCACTTGGAGGCAGGGCATCAGGAAATGGCAATCAGGTTGTGTTTCCAAAGAGTAGCTGTAAATGAGGTTGTCTTTTAAAGCAAGCTTGAGCTAAGTTCAGCAATACCCTTTTTCTATCTCTAGCCATTTTTGTGGTTGCATTTTTAGTTTATAATGGCTAAGTGTTATGTAAATGCAGCATTGGCCAGAAATTTATATCTTTTTAATATTGTTAGTGTTAATAGAAGGTGACTGAAGTCACACCTAGCTGTCATGGAAGCTGCAGAACTGATTCTAGGAGTCAAGCCAAATAATAAAAGATGCCTTTACTCACTAGATGGCATGTTGACTGCACATCCTAGTAGAGATAAAACATTGGGGGAAAATACTTTTTTTCTGCTGGCATAATTTCTTCTTCCTGAATAATAGAGGCCAAGCAGATTTGAACACTTCTGCTGATAATGTGACATATACAAGCACTTTTGTTGACACAGGTGTGTTAACCACGGTGTATATACATACCTCTATAACTTGGTAGTAGCAGCTATGCTACCAAAAAATATTAATTTAGGCCAATCTTGAGAATCTAGCTTCTGTTGTGTTCTTGTGCTTTTTTAAAAATAAATCCACCTAGTAGAATTAGGAGCTGTCATTGTAGATGGAAGTTTTCTTGGCTTTACTTTTGTTTTTTTTTTAAGGAGTAAGACAAATGTACTGAAAACAACTTCTTAGAAACAGCAGCAGTATTGAGGTTAGGAAGTATTTTCTATCTTTGAAAGTAGCTTACAAGTAACTAAATGTTCTCAATATCAGTCTGTTACATATTGCCTTTGGATGTTTTGTGTTTTGTTGTTAAAGCCAAAAAGCAAATACTTTTTCCAATGTCTTTAAGTGTGATCCAGGGGTTGATCAGGTATTGCTTTATGATACTTCCACCTGGCTTGCCACCCCTTTCAGGAAGGGGGGGGGTAGCTAGATTCAGTAGATGTTGAGGATCTAACAGCTGAAAAACATGCATCTGGCAAATACTCATAGGCTGAACCTTGCTATATCCAGGTGAAAATAAAAGATAAAACTGAAGGTACTTATCTACTTAGGTGTGCATTAAGCATAATACTGGCACTCTAGATTATATTGATTTATTGCCATATCAGTGCAGCTTTAGGAGGGGACAGTTCAAATTTGGCACCTGTAGCTGTCAAAATTTGATCATTTCAAGTTTTTTTAAGTATGTGAAAAGTTGTGTGACTTTCTCTTAAGATTTTGCCAGCAGTCCGTTTCTGTTTGCTTCTGTTCTGTAGATTAAACAGGTAATTCCAGGTAAAATATATCTGGTATTAAATAAATTGTTTAGGAGCACAGAAAAGACCTCTTGTGTCATTGAGTCTAACCCTCTGTTACCATGAGAAATTGTACTAGATAATGAGTTATTAAAAAGTAACCAGTGTTGTGTCTTGAAATCACAACCCTTTATCCACACTGGCCATGTTGGGGAAAACTATTCCAGAGCCTTCATAGGAATATAATGGAATATTTGTGGAAATATGGTGGGAATTCCCACTTAACTTTGCTCAGATCAGGTAATAGTTGTTCTTTTAACAGCTTTGTCCTTAGTATTTGCTGCAGAATGCTGCAAGTATTTACTAGAAAACCACTGTATCCCACCTTAGCTTTGTTTTGCTTGGCAAAACAATCAGTAGTCTCAGTTTCATCTCATGAAGTAGTTATCAGTAATCCTTATAAACCTTCTCTGCCTTTGATCCAATTTGAATTTGTTTTTATTGAAAATATTTTACTAGATTTGTATTTCTTCTTCCAAATGAGATCTCACCAGTATTAATACTATTTTGTAGTAGGGTACTCCCCTACTTCTGCTTGATATATCTCATCTCATATACCTTAGAAGCTGTGAATAAAGCAAATCTGTCATATTTTATGTATTGTAGTGTCTGATAGTTGACCTCTGCATCCAGTCTTCTGTTTTCAGCTGATTGGTTCTCATTATGCACTTTGGTATTAATTTCCACTATGCAAAAAACTGTATTTTATATTTTAAAACTTGATAGTGTACTGTTATCTATGTCCTGAAAGGAATCCATCCATCTGCCTCTTTACATTTGTTGTCAGAAATCATCAGCATGCTATTTAGTGTGCATAATCAGTTACCTAAAGTATCAAATTAGGTCATTGCCAAATCAGTCATTCCAGGAGCATTATTAGAAACTTCCCTTCAATCCCATAGTTCCCATTCTAATACAGTCCAGGTTTGCTCCTTCTGTAGCCCATTCTTTTGTACCTTAGATTCTATTAATCTCCACATTGTTGGAATTATCTTGTATGGCACCCCAGTGAAGTATGCTGAGGTTCAGACTAAATGTAGTGCAGTTCCTTTGTTCAGAAAAATCACAAAAATAGTAACAGCCAACTTAAGTAAAATTTCCCATTCTGATTGACCCCTTTTCCATTTGTCTCTGTTTTTAATTATTATTTTCTTCGAAACCTAGTCTAAAACCTTTCAAACTGTTGAGGTTAGCCTAATAAGTTTGTAATTGGCTGAACCACACACCCCCTCTCTAAAAAAGTGTAGTGCTGCATGTGGAGAAGTTCCCATTGAACCTTGAACTATTTTATTTTTCAGTATGAATGCTAGTTGATTACAAAAACATGGGTTCTGCAATGCAATTACCATCTCTAGTATAATCTTTCTTCATGATGGATCTGTTCCCTGACTCTTATGCAGGCTGTGTGGTATCAGGACCTGGATCACAACACCCTTAGAGCTACCCTTCGGATACCATGTCTGGCTTCATTGTCTCTGGAATTCTCCTTAGGAGGCTTTCTTCTGGCCTGAGGTGTGAGATCCAGGAAAAGGTTTATAATCTCATTTGACTCATGTATGCTTGCAATGCCCTTTTGAGGTTGAGATCCCTCCAGGGTTGCTTTAGCACAGTATTGTGTTGCCTAACGCCAGTTTGTTTGACTTATCTTCACTAAGGTTCTTCTTTTAGAGCCGTATATTATATCACCTTTTTTTTAATTAACATGCTATTTTTAGTAGCTGCTTGTCAGTCCTGAAAAAGTCCAAGTTCCGAGTCCTTCATAGTGTCTTGGTTTTGTAATCACAGTTTGACAAACATCATGCTTTTTTACAGCTTTTTTAATGTGATTTTTTTAAAAATTAAGGTGGATTACTTAATTTTTGCTTGTTAGCTATAACCTTATTTTTTATTAGTTATTGAGAATAATGTTCTCAACAGTTTGATTTAACATGAAAATGTTAAATAGTTATTAACTATTTATGTCAATATGCTTTTATTTAGATCTGTTTTCTGGATTAATGTTAAGAAGAAAAATAAATGTCTTAAGATAGTAAAAACCAGAACGTTGTAATTGCTGTCATTTTTATTGAGGTTTGTTTGGAGAGAAGTTAAAAGCTGGCGTGTTAAATGTTTAAATATAATTGCATTGAAAGTGCTAAAACAGTTTGTCAAAATAAGTTTTTAACAGTAGCTGATCTAATCAATGATACATCAGCTACAGTATGCAGATGATGAGTAAAATTGTCAAAGCTCCCAAAGAGATTAGGTGGGTAAAGTCTGTTAAAATTGGTGAAATTCAAAATCGCTGTTTGGCTAATTGCCAGATTAGGCAAACTGTTGTAGTTGTTGCATGTTAAGATTTTGAAGAGCAGTTAAGTTAGGTTCTGTACCCTAATACTCTCAGAAAAATCTGATCCTGGATATTTCAGGCTTTCAAAATTAGTTTCTTTTATTAATAGATTGGACAGATGAAAGTGAACAACCCTACTTCCTCAGCTGCAACATACACTCTCATAAACTGAGAGTGTTTTGAGAGTTTATGAAAGCGTATGTTGTTGAGAAACAGATGTGATTCTAATGAATATACTGCCTCTGTTTACTAAAGGGTGAAGCATAATGCAAAATTGAAGTGGAAACTTTGGACAACAAACCATGTTTTCTAGGCATGAGTACATGAAAATGACAACTTCTAACTCACTGCTGAGGCAGATACATGGTTGATGTTAACTTATCTATAAGGGGTAAATGAGCCTGTATGTAATTGCAGTTTCAGTAAATCCCTACTCACTGTGTTTTCCCATGACTACTTTTGTATGAGGGTCAATGTTTCTACAGTCCTGCCTCCTCCCTAGTCTTTCTGGCTTACATCTTCCTTCTTTACACTTGCAAAAAGAAAATCAGGGAGTTTAGCTCTCATAAGCTTCTAGTAAGCTAGGTCAATGAATGCCATGAATGGTATATGTGAGTGACAGGGATTGCACAAGGGAAAGATGGTGCCACAGTAAAGCCATCTAAATTTGGTTTAAACTGTTTTGGGAGTATGATTCTTGTAATGATAGTAAAGCTGAAGATGTGGCTTGTCCCTCTTTCAGAAGCTTTTTGACATCAGAGTTGGTGATGTGCTTTTGCTGTTTAATAATTTTGGAGTCTGTAAGCTGAAGCTCCAAATCAATTGTGGAAAATCTGTAAATGTTCAGCATTCTGATGTAACGTTGACTGAAACATTGAGAACAAAGTTATTTATTGTGCTTGTACTTCTGATGATCTGATTCCCATTATTACACGCTTTACAGAATCACATGAACCGCATGCAAAGTAAACATGTGGAAGAATTGAAGTTGAAGATCATAATTACAATCTTTTCCTATACCTTGAGCATAAGGCCAAACGTTAGACGGAGGCTTACTGAATAGTTACAGTTGTCAGCTTCATTAGGGCAAGGCTGCTTCATGAGGACTATGTGTCAAGAGTTTTAATGTTCACATGCAGTTACTAGAAGTAGTGAGTGGTTTCCTTTAGGTAGACTATTATACATTTGTCTGCCTCAGGTTTTCTTCTGTGTCTTTCTGGACCATCTGACTTACCAGAGTAAGAGTACTGGAGTAAATGAATAGTGTCTGTGACCAAGCATAGCTTTCCGTAGATTTACTCATGGTATTTTGTGTAAAAACTTAAACATCCTTCAAATCTTTTTTGATAAAAGATGACTTGCATAAAAGCCAATGGAAGAGGAAACTTGTCATTGATTTCAGTGATGCATCATCATGGTTCTCCTGTTGCATTATGCTAAGCAGACTTAACCATTCAACCTCAGTTCTAGCTTCCAGCCTGCAAGTGGCACTCTGGATACCCTGACTCTTTCCCCTCTTGCCCCCATGTACTTGTAAGGGTAAGAATGTATTGTTATCTAAAATAAATTTCTTGTCAAGTAAGATGCTAAGATGAGGAATCTTCAGGCAAACTTCAGAAAGGCATGTAACTGCAACAAAAAAATCTTGAACTAGTGGAGGTACTGTGGAAAAACAGTGACTTTGTGCAGTCAGCTGGTGCCTGAATTAAAACTTGAAGTGAATTGGTACTGCTCCCAGCCAGTACATATGGGCATCGTTTAAATGCTTTGAATGGAAAGTTCAAAATCTTGTGGCCTAGGAACTTGCTTAAGGAAATCTGACTCAATGGTCAGAACTTTCAGAAAACATCTCAGTTGCAGAATCAACCAGGCTGGCCCTCTATACTGGGAAGTAGGAAATTCAGATTGGAAAAAAGGTGGAAGTTTACATCAATACATTAAAAAGTAACCAGTCATGGCCATAAAACTTTTTTGTTGGGATGCATGTAGTTTTAGTATGTACCTTGCTTGGAGAAAAGGTTGTTTATGGCACTTCCTTACTGACTTTTAGAATTTTGCAGATGTAATATTGATTAAAAAGCATAATGACCTTTGGTATTTGGCAAAGTAAACCAGTTCAGTTTTGGGAATCATGTGGAAGCCTACAGTCAGTCTGGTTGTTGGTACTTGATAGTATGTTAAGTTGCTAACATAGAGTACCAAACTTCTGGGGTTTTTTTGTCTATTGCTGAAACAGGTTTTGAGATTTTTAGCTTTGTTTTTACTTTTCAGGAAACTTGGAGTTCAAGCTTTGCTTTCTTGTACTTGTTTTCAGTAATACAATTTAGTTCAAATTGGGAGATCTGGCAAACAGGAATTTCAAAAGATCTAGATATAGGGAGGAAATTACTTTCTACTGTATAAATACTTCACTTTGTACAGTATAAATGATTTTTCCTTTGTATTTTATTTAAAATTGAATGAATCTGGCCATCTGAATGTCTCACGAGAACTGGTTCCAGGTGGAAATTGCACGTGTGATCCTCTGTTTTCCTACCTGTTCAGGGAGAACATAGTACAATATAGGATTAGAGAGAAGCTTGATCCTATACATCAGGGCAAAACTACCTTGTAATTTGTACAGCAGAGAAGTATATTCTAGATGGCATCATTCTTTGAAAAAATTACATCTATGTTTTTGCATACTAAAAAAAAAGTGGCCTGTCTAGTGATTTCTTTTTTTCCCAATGTTTAATTCTGGTTTGTTTTTTTAAATGAAAGTAACTGATTGTGAATCACTTGATGAAAATTAGGTATGATAATAACTTGTACATTAAGTAATCTTTTCTTTTGAGGCCTGGGTTCAAATGTAACTTTTATCACAAGTGAAAGTGAGTCTCATAATCTAGTTTCCTTTGTAGCCAAGTCGTTTAACTTGGCATTGCTGTTGTCCTAAGAATGCTGAGTTAAAAATATATTAGATGTTGTTTGAAGTGAACGTGTCCAGTCGCAGTCATACTGTATCTGAGTTCTCCTGTTCCCTCATTTTAATAAGTACGAAAATTTTCACTCTCTAAAATGAGACTTTAACTGCAGTGATGGTTGTTCCTAGAAATAATGGTTTTAGATAGGCTTTTGTGTATTTAGTCATTTAGTAAAAAACTTAAAAGGTTCCTTTGTTTTATTAGGAGTCCACATCTCCAGTTGTTTCACCACAGCAATCCCCACCAACCTCTCCACATACATGGAGGAAGCACAGCCGCCATCCCAGCGGAGGGAATAATGAACGACCTCTTGCTGGACCTGGGCCTTTTTGGGCTCCATTTAGTGAAGCACAACCAGGTATAAATATCTTATGTTATGCTTCAGCTGTAATTCAAAGTTGTGGGATTCTTAAGTATATTAAATGAGTTTAGGGCAGTTTATCTTTGTATTTTCCAGTCCTGGAAACTTTCTTGCAGATTCAAATGTTCATGTTGATGGCAGCACTGTGGAATCTGTGGTCTTGCATATGGCGGATCCATTTCTTAGTGTGGTATGGGAAATGCTTAGAGTTTGGAGGGAGGGAAAGAGTATGAAAGTTTCCCAGTGGAAGGTTTTCTAATACAAAACTGACATCCTGTTGAAATTATGCAGGAACTGTCAGTATACCCAAAAATGTGGGGAGCTCAAGGGAAAGCAGCAGACAATATATTGTTTGTTTGAATTATGTTTCTGATAGATTATATGAATTGTCAGAACAACTAATTCTCTTAACATCTTTTTTTGCTTTCTTTAAATTTTATGTAAACATAACTGAAGCTACTGTATCTCCAGTCTGTCAAGGTAGAACCACCTGTTTCAGTAAAGCTTTTCATCCTTTATTCTTCATTTAAAATGAAGACTCTCCCTGTTGTCGTATCGCTGTGCTCAGGTTTAAAAAGCCAATGCCCTTAATATCTCATATTTCAAAAAGTTCTGTTTTCTGATGTCTGATAGACTTAAATTTGGGAACCGCAGAGCAATTCTAATTCAGGTTCTGGTTTTGATGATACTGGTAAACAATATGTTGCATTTTGTAGGCTGTAGTTTCAGATTGAACTGTGGTTGGTTTATTTCAGTTGTAATATTCCAAAATTGATCTGTTACCTTTCAATTTATTGTCATTCTGTAGTTATAAGCATCCATGGTGGACCAGGGATTCTGTTGATAGAATTGGTTGGATAAGGAAATAAGTCTTATTTTAGAAGTGAAATGGGTTGTATGCAGAGGACTATGCCAGTGTACTGAATGTTGTTTGCTAATAAGTCCCAGTCAGTTCAGAATAAAAAAATAAAGATTATTAGTCTGCTCATTGTATATATAATCACTTCTGAGGGTTCAGTCCAGGCATTGTGATTTTTCAGCAGTCAATTTCTTGACTTTTTCTTGCATAGTTTAGTTGATTTGCTTTTCTTGCAAGGTGAAATACAAGTTTGTCTGGTAGCTGATTTCTAACTTGTGAAGTTTTTCTAACTTACGAAGTCAAGGACTGCAGGAAAGTATGCAAGCTATTCCTACTGTTGAAGAGTTCAATATTGTCCTCTTAAAGTTGTAATACCATGTTAATATTGTTAATATTTCAGTTTGGCAATGCTTTCCCAGTGATGTCCATGGATAAATTTTTCAGTAGTAGTCTGAAAATATTTCTGAACTAGCTCAATATTCACCAATTTTATGTTCCATACTGAAACGCATTCATAGTGTGTTTAAAGTAATTCAGAGATGCTGTTATAGAAGGATTGTCTGTTCTGCCAATGCTAAGAATAGAACGGATTTTCGTATGTTAGTTTAACAAAAATTGTCATTCTGATTCACTGGATGATTCTTTTGCACTGCAGATGATTAATTATTCCTTTGAATTTCAGCTGTTGTAGACAGTTTGTCATTCTTTTTCCCTCTCTTGATCCTACTTTTTACGGACAGTATTTTGTAGAGGAATGATGTTCTACTGACATTTAGGTAGAACCAGATAGACTGTTGGTTACCTTTCTTAAACTCAGCTCTGCAAGCTCATCTTGATTCCAATGCAAGATGCTTTTGAGAAATTTGCAAGTAATTTGCAAGTATGTGATACTATTTCAGTAGGATTTAAAGCAGGACTATGCCATTTCACTTGTGATCCAAGAAAAATAAGAACCCAGGTCTCTCTGCTTGTATTTCACGTAATGTGAAACATTGTTTGAGGGTAATGGGGCTGTCAACTGAAAGCATGGAACCTCAACTGTAAAAATGTTTCTGATGGGTCTAATAATAAACAGCATGTCGCCTTAAACCAGAAGGACAAAAATCAAACCATAATTTTTTTGTTCGGAGAAAGATGTGTTTAAACAAGAAGATTCTGACTTATACATAGTAAAGACACTCCATTGCATCATCATACTCCCAACATGAACAAAATTAAATAGTGCTTTCTGCATTGAATTGGGCTACAGAATGATTATTAGATGATGACTCAATTGTTTTTTGTAAAAAATCTTACACCTTGTCTTTTATCAGAAGTCTTAAGCATAATGTATAGCTGTAGTTCTCAATTTCTTGAGGAAGAAAACCTGTTGTCATCTCAACAAACCAAAAGAATTTGGATTTTATGAATTTTTTGTCACTGTGTTGTCCAGTAATTCAGTTAGGATAGTGTTAGTGATGCTTCGTAAGTAGCTGGACTCTGAGGGACTGTCATGACTAGCTCAATGTGCTTACACATATGAAATCAGAAGCCAAGTCTTGTTACCATCTTTCTTCAAGCCTTTTTGTAAAGGGAGACCCAAAGGGTGCATGTATTTTACTTTAATATCAGGAACTAAAAGTTCAGTGACAGACATTGATCACCTGTGTAGAATGAAGTTTGTAGTTAGTTCAGGTCTCATCCTTAAATGTTGGAGTCAGTTCTGTTAAAATCTGAGTCTTCTCAAGTCTTCCAGGTGTCCTTGATTTAACAGCTTAAGATAAAGCTGTTCAAAAATCATGTTGTTATGTCCCAGTTCTGGTTTGCATCTCTGATCTGGATCAGTCTTCACAGAATAATACAGTGGATGACAGAACCCCTTGTAGGAAACAGAATTGTATAGGAGATGAGAGCCTCCTGTTCTTACAGTTACAAGGGGGAGGAGGGGGAACCTTCATACTTTTACCTTTTCAGCTGGTTTTGCACTACAGCTTCAGCTGCTAGAAGGATGCTGATGGTGACAAACTTGGGAGAAAGAACCCCTTCCCCACTTCAAATGATAGTTGAGTGGCATGTCAGAATAGGGTCTAGAAATTATTTTTTATTACCTTGTAGTCTATTTGGACTGGAAGCAAAGCAGTGCATTTATGTTGGTAGTATCCAAATAATGATTTCAAGCTAGTAAAAAAATCTGAGGTCTTCTTTTCAGTCATAGGACCTTTGTTAGCTTGCTTTGGCATTACATCAAAGTTCTGTTTTGGTGTCTGAATATGTATAAGAACTTGCACCCCTAAGCCACACTTCTTTCTTTTCCTTGGGAGAGATTTTGCTGCAGTTCGTGAAATCAAGAACAAGAAAATTCATGGACAGAAGTGGAACATGTCTACTGTGCTAACAGTTCACTTGCATTTTTAGAGTCCTAAGATATTTACTGTGCTTGCAGGAGATTGGATAGTCCTTTGTCTCCTACTTACTGCTTCAATAACTGTTGATGATTGGCCTTGTTACAAGTTAAGGATTATTCTTACCTGGACATGGTTATTCAGGGAGGAAAGAGCTCTACAGCATTTTATCGTATTGCCAAAATTCTACTCAACCTTCTGGTTTTGTTTCATCACAAATTGGTGGTAAGGAAAGCTTTTGCTAGTTTACAAAGTTAGTTGAAAATTTAGTTCTCTGTGAGTAAACCCACATTTGTATAGTTATTGAAAAGTACAAGCTACTCGGGTGTTATCTAGATAAACCATTTCTTACATTTGTAGCTTCAAGTGAGGGGGTAACTTTTCTCCCACAGGAAACGAGATCATTTTCCGCAAGTTATCAATGTGTTGGTAAGATATTCAAGCTTGAGCAGAAGGATATAAACAGCCACAGGAATTCAAGTTAGGTCTTCATACTAAACATAGTGCATTAGACTTCAGCTAGTTCAAATTTGATAATTGGGCCTACTCTCTATTCAGAGTGCTGTTAATGGTGTTTCCCTGATGAAAATGCACAGAGACCATTGAAGGTTATTTCTTCATTGGGTTACAAATCATAAAATAAAAATACAATGATTGTTTCAAGTCTTCTCTGTGACCCAGTTTTCTTCCACCTTCCCTTCTACTTCAGTGTTCCCAGTCTAGTTTTGTAGATTGAGAAGAAAGTGAGGGGTGACTATTTCTAATTCAAATGTCGAATAGATGTAGTTTTATTGATTGAGTTACTGGTTGGTGGCAATCCATGAGTTTGTGCGTAGATCCAGGTGTCCACAATAATCTTTCTCCAGTGTTCTTCAGCTTTGCCATCCTGTGTCCTAAAACATTGCATCGCAGAGTGAATAACAGGAACAGTAAAGCAAGGGTATTCTTGTTGGGATTATTTGAACAGGGGAGAAAGGAAACAGTTCTTGTAATACTTGTAAAGAACTTGGAAGGTATGACAATTTGGTGCTGCTGGCATCTCCATCGCTGTCAAGCTACTGCTTTGGAAGAGGTGGTGTGCTAAGTGGGGTACAAATTGAACTGTACTAAGACAAGTTGTTGGGAGAAGTAAAGGTGGAGTAAACATATGTAAGGTTAGCGGTAATAATGTCAGTGTCTGAGGGGCAGAGAGCCATTGTATCAAAAGTAAAATTTGAGTGGCATATCCATAGGAGAGATGGGAAGGACTTGTCTGAATCTGTACTGCACGTAAGAGTATAGCAAACATAAACCAGTTGTAAGCATTTCTCTCATTACTTTCTCCTAGGAAAAAGGTCATTTATGGAATTAAAGAGTAATTGCATACAGTCAGATAGTAAATAGCAAATGCTGACAATGTTACTGTAACTTTAGATGTTAGCCCTCAGTGTGCCTCACTGATTCTCAGATTTCCTTCACTCTGTTTACTGCAGATTGTGTATTAGTAGTGTCACCAGTCTCCAAGAACCCCAAAATGTTGATATTTGTCCGATTCATCAATGGATTACCTATATATGAATGGACTTCTCATAGCAATATTTTTTAGTCAGCATCTTGACAATAAATTCTTGGGTTTTAGTGCTTCAATTTAGATCTTGGTGGCAGAATTAAAATTATGACAGTGATGTTGTGTTTGTTGTTTGTGGGTTGTGTGGAGGGCTTACAGAAACTCACAAGTTGACCTGCCTTTTGAAAGGAAATCTGTTTCTACATGTGGGGCAGAAATTCCTGCCTAAGTATGACTTTAACTTATTTCAAGAGAAAGCATTTAGTTGTGCAAGAAGAATAGATTAATCATTTTCACAACTGCTGTTTAGATTTAAGGAGTTCAACATTTCTTTTAGAAGGCAAGGAGTAGAATGGAGTCCTGGGATTCTTCTAGACTTGTTCTAGATGGTTTGTTTTCCCTCTGCTCCAAGTTTCTTAAATTTTTAATTTGCAAGTGCAATTTAAGAAATTTTGAGAGTTTTGTACATAGACCAGTGGGTGGCCAAATCTTTCTATAGTTGCTTCATCGTTATTTTAATATTAAGACATTGAACATTGGCAGTACTTCAGAAGTAGATTGTAAAAATGCACTGGGTGAATCTCAGTTATTGTGTTCCAGATAGTTAATACATAGATGTCAGCATTCTATATGGATGCCTTTTATTATTCTTGGCCTGTTTTTAAGTAAGTGAGTTAAATTAGTCTAGAAATAATTCAGAAGTATATTTGTGCCAAAAAGCCTGATTCTTAACAGGAATTTCCAAGGCTTTGTTCTTTGAATGGCAAACTACAACCTAAAAAAGAAAAAAGTTTAATAATAATGGTAATGAAGTTGCATGCTAATATTGTATGCCACTTTTAAATAGCTGTTTGTCCATACAAGTGTTGCTCATTTCAATTAAGCGAAAGTGTGGAGTATTAATTAACTCATTCAAAATCATTTAATGGGTAAAACCCTATTTACATTTTACACATGTTGCAATAAGCTAGTCTATCACATCTGTCTTTTTAGTGCAGATTTAAGCTGGCCTAACATAAAAATCTACAGGAGTTGTCAGGAGGTGAACTTTGTCACCTTGGTGCAGTTTGGTTTTCTTTTTTTCACCATTCGACAAGTGTGTATCTCCCTGACAGGACCATGTGTTTCAGGATTTTTAAAATATTTTTTTTTTTACTGCTTTCCACATCCATAGTTCTTACTCAATTTTCAAGGTTGTCTTTTGAAAAGGAAATGTTTCTTCTACTTTCAGGCTCATCTACTTCTAGTGATCCCATATGGTCTGGCCATTCACCACCACCCCATCAAGAAAATTGGGTCAGTTTTGCAGATACCCCACCAACCAGTGCTCTTTTAGCCATGCATCCTGCTTCTGTCCAGGTGTGACACTTAATTGATATTTGATTTGCTTCATTCAGATTAATGTTGCAAGCCTTTTTTTTTTTTTTAAATAAATTTCATTGCAGATGTTTACTGTGTATCTGTGCTGTAGTCTGTTCAGTGCTATTTACCCAACAGATACTTGTTTCATTGGGTGACTTCATTTGGAACGATTAACTGAAAGCTACTAATTTAAAAATGCCAGCAGTTATGATTTTAAAACATTTGTGTTTAGCTTTTTTGCATATGTGCCATACTTTTTTTTTTCTGCTTACATACCTGCAGTCATTCCTATCCATATGTATCAGTGTGCAAAAATACCCTGTCACTATCCTGTAGATGCAATCTGCTGATGGTTTCCTGCAGTTTTTAAACTACTGCGAGATTTAACTATGCTTTATTTTTTGAAGGGAAGAAGTTGAGAATTCATAGAAGCATTTTAGGTAGATAATACTGAGGAAAAATATTTCATTTCAGGACCAGACAACAGTACGAACTGTAGCATCAGCTACAACAACAAATGAAATTCGTAGGCAATCAAGTAGTTATGATGACCCCTGGAAAATAACTGATGAACAAAGGCAGTATTATGTTAATCAGTTTAAAACCATTCAACCTGATCTAAATGGATTTATACCAGGTAAGTTACTCTTTAAAAAATATAATTGTGGGTGCAGCAGTTCTGTTACAAAGACTTTGTTCTGTGCTTAGGTTTGCATACCATTTTGAAGAAAGCTCTGCATTTTACCAATAATGTTCTAGTAAACTCCAGTATAATTCAAGAAAGGACTTGAAACTAATTTGCCTTTTTCCTTTGTTTAACTGTAGTAATTAGTGCCATTTTTCTCAAAACCTTTGCTAAAGAGCTCATCTCCTTTACCATAATTCTAAGTCTTCTAGTGATTTAACTTGCTTTATATATTAAAAATGGTTGTTGTAATTTTTCAGGATCTGCAGCTAAAGAATTTTTCACTAAGTCAAAACTACCTATTCTTGAACTTTCTCATATTTGGTAAGTGTGATGTGTCTGTATTCTGGATAGTTATTTAGGAAGATGACAGATATCTGGTGGTCATCTAACAATCTACTTACTAGGAAGTGTTATGAAGTGAAATTTCACTAGTAATCTCGTATGTTCAGTTCTACTCATATTTATGCCAGTATTACTTTTGTGGGCTTTAATGAGTCTAGGCTGGCACTATTTACAAGGTATTTTGAGCTTTTGAAGAAATTTCAAACATTTCAGAGTAGAAGTAACTTATTTGAGGTTTTTATTGTTAAAAATGCATTTATATTTAAATAATTTCTTATCTATATATATTTATTCAAGGGTAAGTAAGTTTAAATGAAATGTACAGAATCAAATATTTTTAAATGTACTTAGTGGGGCTTGATGACAAATTTAGCTTTGACTTGGTGCAAAGCTTATATTTCATTGTATTCTGGAATTTGTACTGCATCACTGCATGCTATCATTGAATGGCTTACCTTGGCAGATTTGATCCTTCTTTCAGTGTAATGATTTCTAATTCAGGTATTTTCCCATTTAAAATAAATCATATTGCCTCAGCACTATTGCTTCTTTAGTATACTTTGCAAAAAATCTGAGGCCAATAATGTTGTGTAGTGCTATCTTAAATGAGTTAAAAACCTGGAGAGATAAAAGTGGGTTTAAGTGATCTTTAAGCTCTAAGAAATGTTACTAATGAAGGCTCATCTTTTTTGAAAAGTAAAGCATGTAGCACTCATGCAAAGTGCTTAATAGGGTAAAATGAACTATAAACTGCATTCTTTGATCTTCCAAGTAGCACAACAGAAGTATGTCTTTTGGAAATAAAATAACCTTAAGAAATTTTATTTATACTAAGTTTTCCTTTTTAGGGAACTGTCAGATTTTGATAAAGATGGTGCACTGACATTGGACGAGTTCTGTGCTGCATTTCATCTGGTAGTTGCTAGAAAGAACGGGTATGATTTGCCAGAAAAGTTACCTGAAAGTTTAATGCCCAAACTGATTGATTTGGAAGACTCAACGGGTAAGACATGCTTCAACACAAATGTCACTATTTTCAAATGACGGTATAGTTGTTACAGTATATCAGCAGATATTTACAGGTTTGTATGAGCATAACACATTAGTCATTGTGAAGTAAAGCAGTGTGCAATTTTTAGAAACTTAATCAGTGCTTAGAGCTAATCTGAACACATGTGTTTCTGTACAGGGAGATGTTTAGGAACAATACACATATTGACTGTTACATTTGGAAATACTGCCTGTGTCCTTTAAAGGTTAGGGAATACAAAATTGTCACAATATGGATTTTATTCATGATCAACTGTTGTATTCCAAATTCCTAATCCAGCTATACTTCAAACTTGCTTTCAAATGAATATGCTTTCTGTTCACCCTCATTTCTGAAAATAAGGCATGAGTTTCTAAGTCTTGAAGGTACTTAGAAAATACTCCCAGATTCAGTGCTAGAGTTAGGACTGTGTATTTTAAAAGTACAGGATTAGTAGCACAGAATTTTTCTTTTTTCTACTCCTGACTTGACAGCAGGATTTATCCTCCATTGCTTTGGCACCTAGTCTTTCTGTGCATGGTCCTTTACCTTTGGATGCTCCCAGATAAACCATTGAATGCATGAGTTCTGCTTGTTAATGTGTGCCAAAAACTCAGTCCCATAACTGAAAAGCAAAGTACTGTTCCTTGTAAAAGTGTCATTTAAAAACAGGATCTTTGTGGCCGTCTTGCATTTTTTTTTATTTTAAAACAGATAAAGGAAACTGAATATTTTAAAACTTTAGATTTAGATTACTCTTTCACAAGCAGTCTTTGCTTGGAAAGTCAGGTTATACTGTGGGTGCACAGGTACTATGATTTCCTAGAATTTTATTTCTTTTTACTAAATACTTCAAAGGAGGTCTCTTCATACTGTGTTTGTAGGATGTCAGAGACTTTCTTCTGACAATTATTGATGAGTTCTTAAACTAGGTACTGTGGCTCTTACTACCTCTGATTTAATAATTAAACCATTTTTTGTGGGAGTGGCTTGGCTCCTCAAAGAACATTTAAAAAAGCAGTCAGCCACAACTGAAGTGTTTTCAGTACGAGTGAGCATTTTGCTATGATGAAGACATTCGTAAGAAATAGCTACAATTAATCGGGCGAATACCTAGCAAGTATCTAAAACCTACCCATTCTATCTTTTTGTGGTAAGGTGGTGGCCAAGCAAAAATCTTGATAGGAAATGGAGTAACATTTATTTGTGTAAACCATTGTTATTTAAAAAAACCCAACAACTACTTTTAAAAGTAGTTAAAAAAACCCCAAACATTTTTTCCCTCTGGTATTACAGAGAAGTTACCCTGTTCTAGTGAATGTTAAAAGGTTACCATGCTGTATAAGCTGTACTTAAAAAAACCCCAAAAGTTCTGATTGATACTTGATTCTGCTGTTATTAATAGCTACAGTGAAAACTGACAGTTCTTGCAAACTTGTTGAATTTTATCCTGTTAACTAGAATTTTATTTTTTTTTATTTGGGCCACCAGTATTGGAAATGGCTAATCTTTTCTAGCACCTAACATGATTTATCACCAAAACTTGTATGTTGAATCAAAGATTTTAGGAGAAGTTATTGACATGGCTATAGTTTTACTTGTAGTTACAACAGTCCAAATCTCCAGTATACATTTACTATTTTAATCTAAATTAAAAGACTCATTAGTCTGTGTGCAGACTAATGTGCATGTTAAATTACATGGGTTCAACTTAAGGACTGTAAATCAGCCTAGAAAGATCAACCAGTTAAATTTCTGCAATAATTTTTTCTTTTTAGTTCCCATAAATGCTGTATTTCAGCAAAGCTTGCTTCCAGCAGCCTTCTCAGAAATAAGAACTGTAAAGTATAGCACCGGAGTGTCTTTTTGAGTGCACTTTTTCATGGGATACAGCTTTCTCAGAGAAAGAAATTGTTAATGACCTTCTGCTGACTGATGCCTCAGTGTGAATAACATACTTTTAAATTGTTCAAGAAGGTGAATTACTTGAATGTCTTTTTAAACCAATGTGCAAGATGGTAAACTTTATTTCAGAAGTGTTAACGATACCATTATTAATTCTGTCCTTTTGTTAGAAACTTTCCACTTGATCTTCCATGCTTCTGCTCTGCGCTTGAAACTTGCAGTCGCTTTCCATTTTGACTTTTGAACTAGTGGCCAGCAGAAAGAAAAGTAGCAGAAGGCTCCCTGCACCCTATGTCTCTGTTCAGACAGAGGGAGGGAAGATCTCTCATGGTCTACTCTGGCAGCGTCTTCCTTATCAGTACCTGTGAATCTGTTATGTGACCAACTGCAGGTGTCCCAAACCCGTTAACGTGTTGGTCTTCTCACATCTGATTTCATGACCAGGGATACATGTTTCTCTCACATGACGTAGATCTCGTGTATAATAAAGTGTTTATATAGTTGGTCATTTTTGTGGTGTAGCACTATGCCTTTACAGAATTTTAATAGGAAAAAATGCTAAATGAGGTGCTAATGTCTTTCTGCTGACTAGAGAGAGAAATGAGGTGTTTTAAGTTCTTAGAATAATGTAGTAATTTTACAACACATTTGAATAGTTTTAGTATTTTGAATTGGATCTTATACTGCAAAGAATTATTTGGATTGCAGCAGCTCTGCTTAACATTTAACATTGTGTTGTGGTATTTGTAGACAGATAATGTCAGCTCTTCAGAATGAGCAAGATCTGTCTGTGTAAGAACAGCCTGTAGAAGAAAACTGCAGTGAATAAAAACGGGAGCATGAAGTCAGGCAGTTGCACAAATACTCCTCTAAGTGCTTATACATTTATTTTATGAATCGAATACTGTTGATAGCATCTGCATCTGTCTTGGCAGAATTTATGATCTGCAGCTGAAAAGACTACTCATCTTATTTCCTGTTATGTAAATAAATGTGAATATTTTCCTTTAAACTCAATTTTATCTCAGTTAGTAAAAGCTACCAACCCTTTTCAAAACTCAAAGCAAGTTTTGCTTTTCTGTGATTTTGTTTTTTGTTTGAGCTGCTGCAACAATGCCATTTCTTTGTAGGGAAAAGAATCTGCCATGCTTTGTGTCTTACACAACTTCATTACTTTAACCCCTGAAGTTTTCCATAGGTGTCTTACGCATGTTTCGTGTAGATATTTGCAAAATTCCTTGAATTACAGGTAGCTGTGTGGTCTATTCACAGCGGTTTTCAACCTTGTCTTTTTGACCTTGTGTTTAACACTAGTAGTTAGTTCAGTTATCTAGCGTACCACCATTGAAATGAAATTTTGAGTGGGTTTTTTAACTCATTAGAATTTTTTATTCATATTACACTTCAGAGCAATTGATATGCAACATACATTCCCAAAACATTACCACTGGCATATTTTGAACTTAGTATATTATTTTGTGTGCAATGACCATAGCATGTCATCTTGACTACTTGGTGACATCATTGCGCCTGTAAATATCAGTTTGATGTAGCCTGTTTTATATTGCCAGATGCTTTTTGCCTGAAGCAGGTATTAGGTGCAGTTTCTGTCTGGAATCATTTGTAAAGCCATTTTCCCTAAAGGACAGTAGTACAAAGTGCTAGGTGCTGGGCACAATTTTGGGAACATTGAGTCTCAACCTGATGTCTGGCTACTTGCAGGAAGTTACAAGACCTTTGAAATTTTGGTGAGTTACTGTTTCATGTGTGGCTTTTTTTCATATCAGTAGCACCTCAGTCTCCCCTGGGCTCAAGATGGGACAATTAATTTCTTTCTGGACTTCAGTGTTCTGGCTGTTCTTTTTAGGTTGTGCCTCTTGCTGTCCCCAGCAGCACATGGAAGACAGTAATGGGTTGTTGTTGGTTTTCAAAAGTGCAGTTGGTCACCGTTGACTATTGAAGTGTTTCCAATTCCATTTGACACTGCATTTGTTACAAGTTTCTTCAGATTCAAAGACAGCAGACAGAATATTGAGCTGTCATAGCAGAACAGCAGGCTGCAGAGTTCAGCACTTCAGGAGCCTGAAGCCAATCGTTTTTATAAATTTTAATCAATTTTTGGTACAGTGTGTCACATTCTTGTGGCAGTAGTCTTCGATCACATATCTATCAAGCAGTCCTTTTAAATGGTAATTTAATTAATCCATCTTTTGTGCACTATTTTGTCTTCAGAGTTTTAATTCTTTGGACTACAAGCATCTTGTTAATATGTCTAGCTACTTATCAGTCACTCTTTCAACTGTTTCTATTGCTTACATTATACAGTTGTAATCTGACCCTCAGTTTTTTGAGGCTTTCAATGAATTGCTTTAGCTTGTATTGAGGTATCTAGCAAAATAGAAGACACTGTAAGCAGGATTTTACTGTGTTATGCAGAATGCTTAATCTGCTGTTCAGATTTACCCAATTCTCTTATAGTTTGAACAGAACAAGAATAAGTGTGCTGCATCATGAAAATTTGTACAACTCTGAAGGAGTGTATCTGCAAGGGACTGTACTTGCTGAAAGCTCAGAGAAAACTGAAATAACAGTAACAATGTACAGTTGCAATGCGACAGCTGCTAGGCTTGTTCAATTTGCAAAATGTAGTGAGGGGAAATACCATGGTTTTAGTAAGGAGGCTTAAAATTTAAAATATTATTTGGGGAATAATCAAAGGGAATGGTTTTCTTCATCTCTGGCTTCATATTTTTGGTTTGTGTTTGCATTGATACACTGGTTTTGCTTTAACCTTTCATATAAGGAAGTATTCTGTAAGATAAACTTCTCAGTGCTGGATTTGATGTAATAAACATTAGCGTGAAATTATTTTCTTGTCATTTAAGAAAGAATTATATTTATTTCTACATGTAATCAAAATCTAAAAACACTATTTAAAAGCCAAAGTACAGGGAGATAGTATGGTACAGAGCAATCTTCAAAGTCCAATTTTCAGAAAGATCCTCAAAATAAGAGTAACACCTGATAAATAGTATATTTGACTTGAATGAGTGGGGTTTTTTGTCTGCTGCGAAGTATTTACTTGAAAAAGATGAAACTGAAGGGTACTTTGCACTTTCTATGAGATGTGAGCAGCTCAAACTGAATGCAATTCATGATTTTGGTTTATAGTGATTCCTGTCATTTCAGAAGTTGGGGAACAGACTGGTGAGGTAGGTTACTCCAGCTCTCCAGCAGAAGCACCTCCAAGCAAGTCTCCATCAATGCCATCCCTAAACCAGACCTGGCCAGAATTGAATCAGAGCAGTGAGGTTAGCACTTTTATTTAAGAGTTATTTCGTTGCCAGTCAATAACTAAATTGTATACGCATCCGTAATTCATAAGTGGATTGTTGATCACAAATTGTGGAAAAAGTTAGCAGGACAATAGACACAGGAAGGTTCTACACATGTTAAATTGTAAAAAAGGTAATGTTTTCCTTCTGATTTTTCTGTCTCATTGTGAGATGACCTACTACTTAAAATGTTGTCATTAATGGTAATTAAGCTTTCTATTAATCACAAAATGATCTCATAGCATTTATTGGAAAAGTTGAATTAATTCCTGATTTTTTCATTTAGGGCAGGTTTTTTTGTTGAGTTTTTTTGTTACCTCTGAAGGGCTTTTATAGCCAACACTTTTGCAAAACTTCAAAATAAATTTCTGACAGATCTGGACGTTGAGACTTATTTCTGGAGGTGATTTTACACTGAAATATATAATATCTCACCAGCAACGTAGAGAAGTCATAGCTCTGGGTTTGTTTCAGAAGCGAAGACTCAAAGTTGAATCTGAAGCCAACTGTTGGCCAAACTTATTTAAATATTAAATTTTTACTGTTGTGTATTGCTGCTTTATCATCCTTTACCATACATATTTGCTATAAGCAGTCTTACATAGTAAAGCTGTATTTTGTCAGAATTTGAAACTGAAGTTAGCAAACGGTATTTTTTATATGTTTTTTTTGTTTTCTCCCACAAAAGTCTATTGTTTAAAAATCCTGTAAGGGATTGATTCTTGGAGTTTTTCTTGTTGCTCTGTTTTAACATTTTTGCTTTTGACTTAGAATAGACCAATGTTTTATTCTAAGAGCTACTTCAAGACTCAAGTGAGTTCCTGACTGCAACCATACTACAAAGATGATGTAGGCTTATTTTTCATAAGGGAAAGAAAAGGGAAAAGTATTGAAATTATTTTTTGAAAACTCTTTTTAATGATCTGAGATTCTTGAGTATAGTCTAAAACTTGTTTTAACATCTAAGATAGTTCTGTCAGTAGCTGAGTATTATCTTACCTGCTTCTCTTATTGAAAGAGCTTTTGTGGCTTGCTTCTTTCTTTGTTAAACTTCAAGTAAATAGAAGATTGGCAGTAAAAGGTTTAGACAAACCAAAGGAGAGTCAGTATGAAACAGCAAATAAGCAAATTTTTAGGATTAAAGTTAGGAGCACAGGAAATCTTCTTCCTCTCTCAGGAGGAAGGACTTTGTGAAGTTTGCTGTTTCTCGTAAGGGCAAATGCTAGCCTCACAGTGATGTCCTTACCAAATGAAAAATATAGGAAATGATTTAGTGGTTTTTAGTTGTTCTATTTGACAGAGTGACTCAGACTGCTGGTAGGAAGCTGTGTTTCAGGAGGGAGGTGAGCAGATATTCGGTTGCTAAAAAGCTGCAAATGTCTGCAGCTGTATCAAAATTTGCATTGATACATTCCCTCATGTTTGCAATAAAGATTTAATAAGCTAATCATTTGGTAAGCTGCATTGTAATTGAACAGATTACTTCAGTGTCCAATGCGACTCAAACCAATTGAATAGGGTAATTGCACTAGTGGAACAAAGTTAATGATAACTCTCATCAGCCAAAATCTTGTCTTACAAAACTGACTTTGTCCATTCAGATAGATAATGTGGTATTTTCTTTCTGAAAAATCTACTAAAACTTTAAGAGGTTTGCAGAAGTTCTCACACTAAATATACTACCAGATACTAACAATACTAAAATAACAGTTGAACATTTATTAAATGTTAAGAGTTTTTTGTCTTAACGCAAAGGAATTTCTGATTTTTCAGCTATATTTCTGTGCATGCTTCTTGCTCCTCAGCATTTTCTTTTCAGCATGAGTCAGGTCAAAGTCCTCAAGGTTTTAATGCCATGAAAAAATTTCTGGTATTACTGCAGGCACCAGTCTAATTGTTTCCACTTTGAACCTCTTAAAACTGTCATCAACAAATGAATTGCTTGAGAAGACTATGCATCTCTGGATCATCTGCCTTTCCATGCAGTTTCATCCCCGTCAGTTTCAAAACTGTTGGTTACACTGTTCTTTCTAGCTCATAGTTGATTTTTAGACTCCTGTTGCCAGGCTCAGTTACTGTAAGTTCGCAAGTATGGACCAAGGCATCAGTCTGAAACTTCAGGATAAAGGGCACCATAAAAATCCACCTAACTCTGGATACTACGTGCTTCACATTCTCATCTCTTCACTGATTACTTCTTTCTCACTTCAGACATCTTTTCCATCAAGTGTCAAGGCTGAGCACGTAGTTCTGAGAGCTTAAAAAAAATTGAAAAGCCTACTAAATCTTTGTTGAAAACAGTCTAGTGTCATATGGTCATATTAGCCTTGACACAGATACGGAGATTTGCTTTTGAGTTCACAACTGTTACACCTCGTTTGAAATGTCTTGGTGTTCTGTTAGTAACGGTTCAGGTTGCTGTGAGTTTTAGTTTCTAGTAATTAACCTTTTGAAAGTATTTGTGAGACATTTTTGCAAGTCTGGAAGACAAGTATTTTACTTTCAGCTAGGAAGAGTTTTATCCTAGCAAATCAGTTGTATTGTCAGTGCTCTTAAACCTTGCACAGAGTTTGAGATGCGGTCCAGTAGATCCTTAATATATGTAGCTTTCTATTAACCAGGGAGTTAGCAGTAACTAGCTTCTGGCAGTATTTCAGGATGGAGCACAATAGCATATTCTCCAGAGCAGTCAGGAGGTGTTGGTGTTCATTTGTCTATGCCTGGCTAGGGAGCCTGAGGACAAGTAATAAATGTCCTGCATTTTGGCTTCAGAGGAGTAGAATAAGAGGTAAATTCAGCATCCATCTCTAAGAAATAATGTTTTAGCATTGATCTTAACTGTAACATAGATGCTGTATGCCTTTATGGAAGTTTTGAAAAATTAAGAAACAATATTTCTGTAATCAAATGGTCTGTTTGCCAGTCTCACTGGTATCTTTGAAGCCACTATCCAAATCAAGTTTAAAAGAGTAGTGGTAGTCCTAAAATAAACATTAATGTATGTTTCGTGAAAATGAGCAGCTGTGTAAATGCAAGAGGCCAAATCAGGAAAGGCTGGCAGAACTTGGCCATTAAGTTTCTGACTTAGTCGAAACCGGCTCACTCAACAGGTTTGTATAGCTCCAAACTACTTGCAGTGCTGCCTCTTCATAAAGGAGTGGAGTGACACAGAGATGAGCTGTTTAATACAGGGAGCGGGACAGAGCAGTTAAGAAGGGAAACCTTGCATCCTTACTAAAAAGGTTTTGTTAGATTCTGTCCATGAAGGGGGTAGTTTTGTGTGTTTAAAAAAAAACCAGCAACAAAACCCAAACAGCAACAAAACAACCAGAAAAAAAAAAACCCACCCCCAAAAAGCCTTATGAACAGTATTCCATAATCCTTGCTTTAAAATAAAGTTTGAAATGAGATAAGGCTCTGTCTCTACAAGGAGCAGCACCACACGTGAAAGCACTTAAAAATTTAGTTAATCTTTTTCTGAATTTAATTTCAGCTGATTGAAAACAGTTATTTAGGAATTTCCATGAAGAGTTATTTCTGAAATAACTGTTTTAAACTAGGTTCACATACAGGCCATTCACCGAATATAGTTCGGCGTAGAGGAGCACATGAGATTAGGTTACTAACACCATATAGTTTGTCCTGTATCTTCTGGCATAATTTACATAGATCTGCCTATAGAGATGGGACAAGAACATTGATTTTTTTTCACAACTATACTAACATCATTTTTGTGAGATTTTCTGAGCACTAAAAATTTTGTATTTGTAATTCTTCATTCCTATTGTGATTTGTACTCTGTTTTTTGGATCACAGACTAATTTAAGGTGCTTTTGGTACTTTGTTGGTCCAGTTGTGGCTGTAGCTTGACTTACTAAGCATGAGGACTTTTGACAACCAATTATTGATACAGCATGCCTATGTCTTATAAAATTGTTCAGAGATTGACTTATTTGCTTTTAGCAATCAACAGTATGTTTGAATTTAATTCTTTGCCTTGTCAGTGATTTAGACTTGTAAAAATGCTCTTTTACAGCATAGAATCACTTCTCAGGGGTTGCACTGGCAAGCTGAACTGGTTAATTGGAGTACTCTGCTCATTGTTCATTTGTCTGGGATTTTGTAAGAAAATCAGCATTTACGAAATACATTTGAAACTTGGCAGCTACAAAGTGAGGAACCTTTCTGTGGATTTTATAATTACAAATACACACAAAGTGTCACTGATTTTATCTTTACAGTATTTGAATGGCTTAACCAGTTTTTTTACTTGTATGATTTTCATTGGCAAACATGAGCTCTGAAGGTACTTCCGTGTTGACTGTGTACCTGTATCTTCATTATAAAATGTGAATGTAAAGATTAATATTGACAGATAACAAACTTGGCTGCACAACAATCTCAGACTGACATAGAAATACTTAATGTGTATTAGTGTGCTTTCCAAGTCAAGTACTGTCCAGTGCAAATATCCAGTGCAACCTCCGAACTACTATGCTAAGTCTCCTCAGTGATCTTTTACTCCCATCTTTCTCATCATGCTGACTTCTCTCCTCTGTCTGTTCAGCAGTGGGAGACATTTAGCGAACGCTCTTCAAGCTCACAAACTCTGACCCAATTTGATTCTAACATTGCACCAGCTGATCCTGTAAGTCAATCACTTAGCTTGCTTGTTTGAAATTAATTTTATTAACACTGAATTTCCATTCATTGTATTTAGCTGTTATGCATGATTCCGTGGACTGCTTTTTGGGGAATGGTGGCAGGCTTCTTAATTTTTTTGCTTATTTGAGGAATATAAATTTTCTACCACTGCTCATATTTAATATCTGAGTGCAAAGAATGCTTTTTTCCCTTGATTTTGATGTATTACAACACTGCTATCAAAACCTGTATTACACAAAATACTTAAACAAAACGTTTTTTTTAAAAATATTTAGAAGTCAATGCAAGGGCCACTCCCAGTGATAAACCAGTCCTGTTTTAGATTTTGTCTTCAATGTTGTTTTGGTTTTTTCAAGTTGCAGAGCTTGATTTGCACAAACTCTTAGGAGTTGACAATGCCAACTTCACTGAAAAAACTACTGGGCTTTCATGGGTGTAGTATTTCATATTCCTAATGTTTTCACCAAGTTACTTGTATTAATACAGCTTTTAGTATTTCTTCAGCTAAACCTGTGCTGTTCTAATGCTTTACTCAGTGACGAGTGCTCTGAAGGATTATGTAGTTAAATTTCTTGCCAAGTTTGGGAGCCAGAAATTCACTACAGTGTTTCAAGTTCTGCTGGTTTTAAACTTCACAGCATGTGACATTGAAGCAGTTCTGAAATGCATTAAAATTACTTAAGTATTTAGCTGCCGCTTTCATCCTGCTTTTCTTACAGATTTAATTACAACTGTTAGTGTCCCTTTTTAATTAATTACGGTGTTAGTGTCCATTTGATTATATAACAAAATATAGTATATGTACATAATACGCATTGAACTGCTTTTAATATTAAACAGATCACTTCTGAAAAGATATAATACACAAATATACATACATAAGTGCTCGACTTTCAGAATTAACACTGATACTTGTGTGGAAATAGTATTTCTAGATGCTGGAAGCTAGAATTCAAACTGCACTGTTCCCTGTACTCAGAATTGCCCTTAGTAAACATTCAAAACAAGTGAAATTGTCATACTGAAAGTGAAAACCATCCCTTTTTCATCTAAGAGAGATTTTTTTTTAGTTGAATGTACTGTATTTTTATGTTTTAATGAAGTAAACATGATGGAAATCAGTTTATAGTTGTTTCTTACTGCATATAATTGCTTGACAGTAAAGAGCTATCACTGTCTTGTTTCCACAAGACAGTTGTTATTTTTTTTACACATAATTAGTAAATGACAAAAATCAGAAGTTTGAAATTTTTTCCCATGCGTTGATAATCTAAAAAGTAGAACAGTGATGATACATGGAAAACTCGTATGTAGCCATATATATGTCTGTGTGTATATGCATGGGTTTATAAAAAGAAATTCAATAGAAATACAGAAGTATACTGGGAGATCACATTCTTGAGTCATCTTCTTACAGTCTTGTGGTTGAGAAAAATTTAGAGAATGGTGAGCATCTTTGATGCTTGCTAAGGTGACAGGCTTTAGGAATAGATACTTCAGAATCTTTATTTTCATATGAAAGTAAGAACAAATGACAGCAAATTTTCAGTAGCAGTGTACAGACTTCTTATTTTAGCAGTTTCAACAGTGATGCTTAGGACTGATTTATTGAACAACAACTGCTTTCCCAAAGGAGAGAATCGGCTTTCTTGAGCAGTTGTTAATAACTAACTAAAGAGTAAATACGTAGACCAGTTCGCTTCTTGTTCTGTTGGAAAAGCAGCTGCTTTGAAGGTAAAAGATTAAGTGGAAAGGGTAAACCAGTACATTCAACCCCTAGTATGGGAACATAATTTGCCTATTGTGAGTGAAAGTTGGTAACATGTTAAGTTGTTTTGTGTAAAATTAGATTAATGATCTGAATTAATACATTATATAAAAATCCATTTAACTGTTGGAGACATGACTTTTGTAGGAGCTGCTCATTGGATTACAGCAGAGAACCAAAGCAGCTACAGCAAGAGTGATCTTTGCATGATAAACCCATTCCAGGGGAAAAGGAAAAGCAATATATTTTAAAGTACTAACTATTCCTAAAAGCCTGGTGCAACAAGAGTGTTTGAGCTGTGACTAGACAGTGGTTTTAAAAGTTTGCAAGAGTACTGCAAGTCAGTTTAAACAGTTTTAGAAAATATTAATGTAAATGTATTACTCTTGGTGAAATTGATCTCCTTGAGTAGTCAGAACAGATTAAATTTCTGATACAAGGGTAGTTTTGAAACTTCTTGTTATTTCTAGGGACAGAATATAGTCTGAGATTTGTTTTGTGCTGTCATTGTCCCACCCATTCATATATTCTGAATATAGATGACAGTAAAAAAAACCCTCAGCCAGCTATGGCCATATTTTTAGGTTACTTACGAACAAACATAAAAGTCTTGAGACTTCTTAAGCTGTCTACACTCAGTCTCCAAACCAAATGGAAAGGGCTGTCTATGAAGTACATTAAAATGGAGTCCGTTGTCTGAACTACAAAGAAAATGCCTAAGTGTAAGGTCAACACCTAACTAGAGGTATATTCCATAGGGTTTATTATCCTGAAGATTAGAAGATTTTACTAATTTAAAGATTCCTGAAACTGTTTTTCTTAAACTACTATGAAGTACCTATTTTATAGAGAATTACTCATACTATTTAAAGAGGCCATAACTTTCTGAGGCATTGCAAGTAAAGCCAAGGAGTGGGGTTTTGAAATTGTGGGGTTTGGTTTTGGGTTGTTGTTTGGGTTTTTTTTTGTTGGAAGATGCACTTGAAGTAACAGATATCTGGTATGCCAAAAATGGTGGAAAGCTGGTAAAATTCAGGTCCCGCTTACAACATGGTTATCTATAGAAACATTTCTAGTGCCCTTTTAAAGTAGTAAGGTAGGTGACAACTCATAAATCGTTATAGAAACTTCAGCTTATGGAGCTTTGGTTTTATGGCTATATTCAATTCCCTGGAACTGTGTAAAAAAAATTAAATTTATGATATTTTGTTTAGAAATTACATTTCGCATTGTGTCAGAGACTCTTAATAGAACAATTTAAAACTAGGTTAACATCACTTAACTCTGATCTCCTCCACAGGACACTGCAATTGTGCACCCAGTTCCCATAAGAATGACTCCAAGCAAAATCCACATGCAGGAAATGGAGCTTAAAAGAACTGGAAGTGGTAGGGTATTTTTCTCTTGCTAATGAGGGAAGTTTCATACAATCGGAGTTGGCTTTGCTTCCTTAAAAGTGCTGACTCTTTTTTCTTCTCCTTAAATGAACATATCTGGAGTTGTAACCAGCATAATTAATGAGATTCTCTGAGTTAAGAATTAAGAGTACTGTTCAGATAGGTGCAGAGTTTGAATTGGTCACTTGCTACAGTGAGGATTTCACCATCTATAGGAGATCATTGCTTGGAGTAGTTCAGGAGCATCATCATGATACAGATTTGAGTTGGGCCTCCAGGAGCATGTCTGGGTTTCCTTATTAAATACTGAAGAAGACTAGGAAGGTGGAGAACATAACCTGCATTGATAAAGCTTGTTCTACTGTGGTCAGAAATACTGAGTTCATTATTTTGAAACCTGAGAGCATTTGGGAGTATTGGCAGGCTTTTTTTTTTTTTTTTTTTTTTGGTAATACTCTGGTCAATAATAAGCAAGGTGGTTTGATAATTTTCCTTGAGGAACAGTGGATTCTCAGTTTATATATGTATCCCAATATGCCCATATTTCCTGAAGTCATGTAACTTTTGCATAGTCTGCAGCATATGAGAATAAACAAGTATACACAACACATTTCTTTTAAAATTTCCTTAGCCTTATAAAGAGATAAAGATTCCTGACTCTTAACAGTGAAAAACAGAAATAATATTATTACAATGTCAAACTTCAAAGTTAAAATAATTCATACACCAAAAGTGTTAAAATACAATTTTAGTCTTGAGTGCAGCACTTCAGATAAGGGCAGAAAACTAATGTAAAGCTTTGGCATCAGAAGTAAAGGCTAGTTTGAATATATTTGTTTATTTAGACTTGTTTTTCCATCTAGATCATGCTAACCCTACTAGCCCACTACTTGTGAAACCACCTGATCTCCCAGAAGAAAACAAAATGAGTTCATCTGTAAAATTTACAGCTGGAAATACAGTTAGTAAGTATCAAAATACTTTCTGATCTCATTTTTTACATTATGCAAAATGTAGATCTGATATATTCTTCAGGGAATGAAAACTTGCTAGACAGCAGAAGCTCTAAATTGAGATAAACTTACCCTAAGAAGAGAGACATTTCTGATACAAAGTATATATTAGAAGTAGTAATTAAAAAAGTTCTACTGAAGTCACTGGAGATGTTTTCCTGCCATATGCATTCAAAAAAGTTAATTTTTGTTAGCCCTTTTCCATCTTCCTGTTTTCTCTTTTAATCTTAGGATGAGAAATTGAAATGTATGGAAAGTGGAATTGACTAAGTAGCATTTGATTGTACTTCCTCAGAACCATGTAACAACATGTTTTCTGAAGAGTGAAAGCCTGTTGACCACAAAATTTTCAGATAATTCTCATCTTATTTAGCTACTAAGAAAATGTGATAGACTTCTAGATTTTTCTTTTTAGGTACAGCTTTTCAACTGTTTGCTCCTAATAGCCTTTTTGATTTTCAGTATCTCCTGCATCCAAAATGTTTTGCATTATTTTGATTTGATTAGTCCACTTGTCTAATATTGAGACTGGTCCCAGATTATATGTGGCCTGAATGAATTTCTAGAGTCTATTTCTGAGACTTTTTTTTCTTTAAGCTGGGAACTTTTCTTCAGTAAAAATAAGGTTTGAAGAACTCATTACTTTGAGTCTTTTGCATTATTAAGACAGAAGTATTTTGGTTGGTTTGTAATAGAGGAGTAATTCAGAAAGTGCCTTTTTGCAACATGTCTTGCTTTCCTCGTGAACTCTGTTTCAATGGCACTCTTCGTTCTGAGCAACATCTTGAGCCTGTTGTGTCTTTTTCTTCTCAAGCAGAGTTCTGTTTTTACTAGGTAGTTTTCTGATGCAAAAAAAAAATGAGCAGACATGGTCTTTTAGTGGGGAAACTACAACTATATGCAGGGTCTAAGTTCTGAGAGCCCTTCTGTACTCCCTTTTCCTTATCCACGTGTAGCTTAACCTTTGATAAAGGGCCTGTAACTGTAATTATACCAAGAAATGCTCTTCCCTCAGAGGAAAGATATAGTGAAATAAAACAAACCTCATTGCAGCATAACATAAAGCCATCCTGTAGTACATCAAACTGTAGTTATCATGGGATGCCCATCCTTTTTCTGAAGAAATGGCTCTTGTCAATATTGCAAGTAATTTGGATGGTTAACACCTTTCAGGTGAATCCTGAAGAAATCATTTAATACAAGCTAATTCTAGAAAAGGAATTTCTGATGCTTAAAAAACCACTATAAATCTAACAAATTTTTTTTGTGTGGACTTGCTGTCTTGGTAATTACATTTCTTAATGTTCTTTACTGTCATACTTTAAATAGTCTTATCTGAGCACTTTCTATGCTAAATCAGTGACGGTGTCTATAGTGCACTTCCTTGAGCTGTTGGGCTGGAGAAAGTTTTCAGTGTTTACTTTAGTTGCTTGATTTTGTTTAGCTGTGCCAGAATTCATTTGAGAATAGGGAGTCTCAATCTTAGTTTAAGCAAGTCCTTTTCTAAGTGGGTTTTGTTGTTTATTTAGCTTTTTTATATATTGCTCTTTTGGAAGTGTTGTTTCATAAATGGACATTCTTAAAGAACCTTTCTTCTAGACTATTTTGTTCATAGGTTCACATGCTTTTTTCTGCATTGTACAGAAGAGTACAGAATTCTTCGGGTTTTATTGATCAAAATTTAGATGCAGGTTAATTATTTTACTTCTCATAATGTACTGTTCATGGATCAATATATTAAAATAGTGTTTGAACTGAGAACCAATGGAGATTTATAAGCATCATCGTGATGTTGAGAAATTAGCATTTTATCTTTGTTTTCCATGCTTTACATCAGCAGTAATTCAGCTTGGAAGTTATGAATTTGTAAGTAGCAGCTCGGACCTAAGCCGGGAAGCAAGGACAAACTTTTCCATTGCATGAGATAAGAAAGAAGTCAGTAGGCATAGGCACTACAGAATTGTCTTTCTGTTCAGGCCGTGTGATTTGGAACGAAGGAGAGGGGATCTATAACAGAAAGAGATAACTGGAGAAGTTCATCAATAATTCTTTGGATTGCTGGATACCCACAGTGTTGAAACTGTTATTATGCCAGTAAAAATAAAAGGAGCAAAAATAACTGCTGTTTTCCCAAATTGTAACTTTAAAGCAATGTACTACTTCAATATGTCATTAAGGAAAATTTTGTGAATAAGTTATTTTAAACTCCTGCTAAATGATATAAACAAGATCATGAATACTGCAGTCAGAATGGAAGGATAATCTAAATCATCTTCCTTCATAATGAATTACAAAGCTGGAGATGTAACTTGTATTACTAACATTCAAAAGTAGAAACCTCCCTTGAGGACAAAAATAATGTTGCAATAGTCTATATCCTTCATAATAGGAACTTCACCTATCATGCTTACATTACTGGAAATACTGAAAAGGATCCTACTAGATTCAAGATTGTGTTCAAACTCATGAGTTTGGATTAGCCAATATTGGTGCAGTACGAAGATTACATTTGCTAAGTGACCATCCTTTGCCTTATATAGCCATTACAATTTTTTACTATCCAAATGTTTTTGAAATTGGTTTAGAAATACTTCTTCTATTATCAGTGTAAAACCAGTAGTTTTATACTGAAATGATGTAAAACTTTTTGGTCCAGAAGGGCATACTTTTTCTTTTTAGAAGTGTGATTACATGAATTCTTGTTTCTCACTTGATCCTTGAAAACTTAAATGTCATCTCGTGGTAGACATTTCTGTTTCTTTTTTTTTTTTTTTTAAAGAATGTGTATATAGATACCATCTTTTAATTCTCTGTAGTCCTCATTAGAGACACACCTGTAAACCTGCAGAGAATAACTTCTCATCTGAAATGAACTTGAAATAGGGTATTCCTCAGCTAACTGTGTATGGTAAAGGTTTCAAGCCAAGTTCACTAGATTAATGTACCTGCAGTTTTAAGGGGTGGGGGAGTTAACAGGTAAGAATGTGCCTCACTGAACAGGAAAGTCATCTCTGCAGGATTCTTGTTTCTGAGTCCTGGTTGACGTGTCTTAACACTTTTGAAGACTTTAGTGTCCTAGGAGGTTAAAGTAATCCTTTGAGACTGGGTAATTCAGAAAAATCTTGATGTTCTTGAGTAGAATTTTCCTCTTTACTGATAACTAATCAGGTGAGTCTCATTGGTCCAGTGACTTTCCACCTTGGACTGTGCTTTACCACGTGCTCTGGAATCATCCCTTGTGATAAATTACTCTGATATCCATTTTTCTGTCTACTTTCATTCCACACAAATCTTGTGATTTTAGTGAGGCTCCTCATTTCTGGGGAAAAAACCTCAAGCTTTGCACAGCTTTTAAGGGTAAGGGTGTCCTTAAGGAAACTGTCTTATGTGATGCTGTAATAGCATCTTTCATTTTTATAGGTTGCCTTAACCAAAAGCGGAAAGGTTTTAAAAAGATTTAGTCCAAAACGGAGCTGAGTACTAGCCTTGAAGGTACAGAAGTTACAGCAGTAGCAAAGCTACTGAGTTCATCTGTGTACTGTAGATATCTTTTCCTTTTTCTGACTTCTAAGGCTGGTGACAATACTTCAGGACTTCTAAAATCAAGCATGTCCTACTCCTTGCTTTTTTTTTTTTTTTCTTGGATGTCCCTTGTTGGCTAGATTGTTGAAGTGATAAAATGCCAAGTGTTTAAAAATTATTGCTTATGAAATTTGCATTTTGTATTTTAAATACAACACTATTGTCATTGTTTATTCTTAAGTACGTCCCATAGTAACCAACAATTTATAGTACTGGGTGAGAGGAGTTGGTTTGTATTGGATCCTTCAATTACTCAAACTCAAGGATTTTGAATCCTGCCCAGATGATACCTTACAGGGAAGCAGTACAAGGACATAAACCTTTTTTAAAAATAAAAATGGGATATTTGAAATTATATATTACCTATATCTGTTAGGGTATATTAATGTTGCAAAACACATATGAAACTTTTTACTTTCTTTTACCAGCAGATGGTTACAGCAGTTCAGACTCCTATGCTTCAGATCCAGAGCAAATTGGAAGTACTGTAACACGGCAACGGTAAGTAAAGTAGCAGTTGAAGAAAATAAATAAAAGGTGTTTAAAGCAGCCTGTTCTGAGCTTCTGGTTTTTTTGACAGCTATCTTGTAAAATGATGGCTAAATAGATTCTTAACTTTAACACTCAGGAATCTGGAAGGCAGTGTGTTTTCTAATGCATTAACAATGTATGCTGGTCCTGTTAATGTGCAAGTGAAAATTCGAAAAGTAATGTAGTCTAAAAAGTTTGGGATTGGCCAGTCAAATGAAACTCCACGTTCATTCTGAAATCCTGATAAAGACTTTCTCCTTAAACACAAGGGAATGTAAGCTTATAGGAGATCATGATGTTACTTGAAAACAATTTTTTGTATTTTTAAACAAATCCATTAGGCATTAATGAAGAAGTACCTTGTGACTTTGTAGCATAAAAGAAGAATAAAACATAAATTAGAAATATCACAGCAGTAACGCAATCTCTTTTAATAATGGGCTTTTATATAATGAAGGATAGTCATAGCCCCAGTGTAAATTAAGGCATTGGAGGAAACTATGCAAGCACATAACCAACAACTGCATTGTTTGACATAAGAGAATGTGCTGTACTAGCTGGTGCTAATTGTTCCCATTAAATGTGCCTGAATAGGATTAAACACCAGCTATGCCATTAACCATCTTACAGTCAGTTTCAGAAGTAAGTTTCAAACCAAAAATAATTATGGTGACTTCAACAGCAAAGAAAGGTTTGCAGTTGCCGTTCAGGACAGCAGCTTGAAAACTTCTTTCCTCCATTGTTACTTAATGGAAAATTTGATTGTCTGTCCTGCTTCTATGTATGTTTTTGTACTATTAACATGATGGTTTCAACATTTTCTTTTCATCTCTGATTTTGGGTTGGCTTCTCTTGCTGAACTTGTGTGGATGTGTGAAGCTTTCTGATGAGTTTCCACTTTATGGCACAGGTAGCTTCTGTCCAGAGCTGGCAGTTCTGGCAGTGTCCATCCAGGAAATTTTTCTCCCACTTCCTCTTTTACTTCCTTCCACTGATACCTCTTCTACCAATTGCAATCTTAGCTATAGAGATTACATTGTCCTTAACCCTACCATCAGTTCAGAGTACTTTTTCTATTTTCAGAAAGCAAAAACTGACAAGGCTATGTCAGATAATGATATTTCAGGAGTGTCCTTAAACCACTTTCTCCCTTTTTTAATCCTACTTGTGCCTTTTATACTAGACTAGCTAAAGGGATGACCTTAAGTGTTGGTGTAATTATATTTGTATTTCATTAGCTGGAGGGTTACACAGTGTTACAGAAGCATTGTCCTGGAGAGTATATTAAGAAAGCAAATTTTTCTATTGTGATAACTCAGTTTTCTGTCTGGACTTACACATTCAGGAATGTCAGGTTTTGTGTGAAATTTAGGTACTTCTTACCTCTCCTAGTTTTATATCTTATGATAGTTATAGAAGAATGTTACAGAAGTCAGTCATAGAAAAGATTTTATCACTTATTTATGAGTTGAATAAGAGTAGCTGTATTCACGTCAGTGATTCAGTAACTCTGTCTTGCTCAGGTTGGACTAGTTAGGAAGTTTCTACAAGTTGTTTTTAAATGGAATTTGTACAAAAATTCTGTATGCAGTAAATCCCACTTAAATGGCACTTAGTGCAGTACTTCATCCTTCTATCCTTTCTGCATGTGTGGTCGATGAACTTACAAGAGGTATCCGCTAGATGGTGATCCCACCTAAGACTGAGTTAAAATTTCTGAAGATGCTACCAAGCATATAGATTTGAAAAATTTCAGGTAGAGAATTAAATAGCTATCTCGTACACTGAGGTGGTACTTAAGCTCAATATATATGGAGGCAGGTCCAACAGAAACTTAATATTCTTCTTCAATGACATTGAACTTAAACCATTTAAAACCTAATCAGGATGTTTGACTACATCTTACATGCTTTGCAAATTATAGTGACTACCATCTGGATAGAATTACTGTATTTAGGATTCTCTGTTTCTGAACTATCATTGTTTGGGATGTGTGTCAAGCTATTGGTTATCCAAAGGTAAATTACTTGTGGTAATATAAGAATAATTTGGATAATGGAGATTTAAGTAAATAGAAATATAAAAACAATTGTGAAATCAAAGAATACCAGATTTTGAACTGATTTTGAAATCTTCAAAATCAATGGCAATCAGGCTCTTTTCCATCTGTCAGACTTTATTTTTTTAATTGCATACTTTGAAGAGCTTTTGAATTTTAGTTCTGTTGTAGCTGCCTAAAATCTCTACAGAAGCTTATATGTTTTGCAGATCACATTCAGGAACATCTCCAGATAACACTGCGCCGCCACCACCCCCTCCAAGGCCTCATCCTTCTCATTCTCGATCATCATCTTTGGATATGAACAGATCCTTTTCAGTTACCCCAGGTAGATATACTGTGTTCCTAATGTATATTAGTTTTCAGTACATATATTCCTGAAGCAAACAATTTTTTTTTTTCCTCTGAAGAAAGATTTAGAGTGTGTTTTTTAAAACCCTGCTTCTGAATGAAAAAGCTGAAAATGTTGTCACTCTTCCTGTATTAAAATTTGTACTCCACTTTGCTTAAACAGATAATTTAGGAAGTAAATTTTCAATGTTGGCATTGTAGTTGTTTGGGTGAATGTGGGAAGCAAAGTCAGGAAATAACATTTTGGTAGTGCACCCACATGCAATGAATTGCATCTGCCAGTAAATTTTCAAGAGGAGTTCTTTCATTATCAGATGTATTAGATGGGTGTTAAGTATTTCACTTCAGAGGAAATTACTAAAGGTCACTTCTGATGCTTTGCTGCTTAAAGGTTTTTATTGTACTTCTGGCTTGTCAGTATTATGCAATTCAGAATCATGAAGTGTGAGAAAATGTTAAGACTGTATAATGAGGGTAAAAGAAAAAAAGGACTAAGATCAGAAAAGTATGACCATGTCTGTACTTTGAGCTGGAACAAAGGACAAGATCCATGTTCTGATTCCTTGTTTGGTGTGTTTAGAAATTTGAAAGGAGATGACATTACAATTATGTTCCTCAATGTGACAGGTTGATATGTAGGCAAAATGCAGGACTTCTTTATGTTGACGAGTCAAAATTAGATAGCACTGTAATGTGAAGAGTAACAATCTCGGCCAAACACGATGCCTTTTTTACAGGACAGCAACAGGCTGGAGTTGTTGCCTATCCCCCTGCAGTGCCTCCAAGACCACAGCCTTCACAGGTGATATTGTCACTTTCAAAAAATCATACTCTAACTCGGTGCATCATTTTTATCTAACTCTGAATTTTGACTTATCTCTAAAATGAGTAGCATTGCTTGGTATTTTTTGAAACCACCAGGATGTGAATGATGGCAAAACCTAGACTATAGCCAAATGTTAACCTTTCCTGAGTAAATAATTGCTTCTGGTGGAACCATGGGAAGGGATTAAAGTAGAGATTGAGGAGGGAGGAGTGAATGGCTCTGGAGCTCTGAGTTGTAGGAAAGAGAGGAAAGTTATACTTTCACATTTCTTTGTCTGTCCCTGTATAGCTAATAGGCCATAACACAGACTGTGAGAGCATTCTTTCAAAGTTTTGCAAAATAAGTGTTTGTCTTCCTTCTGTCTGGAACAGGGTATCATTTTACATAACATGCCTGCTCCGAAAAGGAGTGATCCCACTTCTTCCTTTGTTATAGACTTGGTCATCTTTGCAGGCCTGGTCTGAGTCAGTTCATTTAGCTGATTTGGTAAAAAACAAATACTGAAAAAGTTTTTTCTTTGTCTCAACCAGCTGAATTCTTCAACTGCTGTGCAGATCTGAGATGGGACAGATAAAATTGCTTTTCAGTTGTTTTTCAGCAGCAGCTAGTTGTTAAGAATCTGAGTTACCAGCAGTTGAAGTCAGTCAATGGATTCAGAAATAATCTGCAAGGAAAGAGGGTACAATGACAGACATACTCCATACAGTGTGATCACATAAGCATGTTTCCCTGTGGAACTAGACTAAAAATCTGTATCAAGCCTAACGGAGCCAAGCTGGACTGTTACAACAGAAACATCTACTGTCCAATGAGTCTAGCTAGTCCTACAGTGCATTTGTCTTTGGTCTTGTTCTCTGGATAATAGCACATCTGATTGAACTTCCTTTTCTCTTAAATATTTCTCTAAAAAGGCAAATAATCTTTAACGTTCTGTCACAAACTGTTGTTTGGCAAGATTCTTTGCATCAGATAATTATGTTAGGAACAATGTCACTAAATAGTTTTGTTGTTTTATTGCAGGGTGCAGGTCCTCATGTGCATCGCCCAGTAGATGCTGAAGGCCTAATAGCTCATACCAGTACCTCACCTCAGCAAATACCAGAACAGCCAAATTTTGCAGACTTCAGCCAGTTTGAGGCATTTGCTGTTTCAGGTGTAAACAAAGAGGAAGAAGATGAAATTGAAACACACTCAGAAGTCTTGCAGGTGAGCAGAAGTGAAGATCTTGTCAATTGCTTAATACCACCAACAGTTAGGAGACTTTGTTAAAACCTACTTCTGTTTGAACTCAGTGGGGTTTTTTATGGCATCCTAATCCATTGCTAGAAATCAATTACATTACACAACTGCTATGCTTATGTAGTAATGGCTAAACACCTAGGCAGAAGAAATTCCTTTCTTCTCAGTTCTTGATTGTAATTCAAAAGACTTTGTACTTATTAGCATGTGTGTGCACAAACATAATTGTGTTGGTGCATTTAAGACTTAGTACAGGCAAAAGTTTTCTTCTGCTCACTCTTGCCAGACTTCCAAAACTGGCAAGTTTTGAAGTAGCCTGTCTTAATAAATGAGATGACTGTCAAGTATTGTAAGCATCTGCTAGAATTCCATTAATTTGGTTTTGTTCAAAGCCATTGGACAGACAGCTAAAGTGAATAGAGCTCTGGCATCCCTCTATAATACAGAGAGAGATGTTTACAAAACCTTGTTTCCTACTACAGACACAGGACTTAAAGTTTGCAAGCCTCAGAGGCTATTCTTACTAATGTCATAATAGTTTACTGCTATTACATGAATTACTTCATGTTTTCCTTTCATAGTTTGTAGCCTTCATCCAGATTTTAAGTTCTCTGGGGCACTTCTGCATCCTCAGTTGCAAAAGTACCTGTGGTGCTTTAAAGTCCTTGCAACTATTAGCAACTTGTTCTCGCTTCCCTTAATCAGGAAGGTCAATGACGTAGAGGCATTTGAGCATTCTCCATTGTACCTCATTGCAAAATCAGCTATGTTAGCTTAAGCTGCCACTGAAAACTGCTTAAGTTAAGCCTGCTGATTGTTTTGCATTGAAGTGGATGGAGAACAGTCACATTGTGTTCCATTGGAGGGATTAACCTTTGGCAGTAATAGATAATGGTGATAATGTAATAGCAGAAACAGCTGTAGCACTTTATCATCTGGCCACAGCCTCTTTTGTACTATACAGTGCCTCATAATATTGGGGATTTGACTTTATTCAGAGGTCTTCCAACATCCGGAGTACAATGCTCGAGAGCAGAGTACTTTCAAGTAACTTTAATATTTTTTTCATAATTATTTTAGATTCTGTGTTGAATCTTAATTTCTGTATCAAAATACGGGTCTGACTATTGATTCTGGAAGTACAGCTTTTTACTTATATGCCTCTTCTGTAAGCTGCTCCCAGGCCAAAACAGTGTTTCTGACCAAGATAGTTTTAGGTGGTTTTACTCCAAAGTAGGTATTGCTGCTGTATTCCAGCTTGTGCTTCTAAAGACGACTTGAACTGGAATTTAGTTGTGAACGGTATTCATGTATCAGAAACGCAGCATACTTGTATTTATTCCAACTGTTACCAAATGAAATACTTGTTAAGAAGTAGTTTTCTAAATGTAGTTTATATCCCTTTAGGTTGAAAAGCCCTCTGATTCTGCAAGTTCTCTTAGAGTTGCCAAAGCAGATGGAAGAGTTGAAGACAAAGCACCTGCTAATGTCCCCACTAGTGCGGTATGCAAAGTACACTTGGAAGGAGAGCGCTGTTGTCCGATATATATGAAATTATATGTTTGCTTTGATTTGCAACAGCAACTTCATATGCTTCCACTTGAACCCAGTTTTCTTAGGTCTTAGCTTGAAGTAGGCACAATTTTTGAAACAGAGCAAAACTTTCAGTGCAGAACTTGGTTAACAGTAGCTTTTTTTTGTTACAGACACATAATTACTGAGGCGAAAGCGTGCTCTGAGATGTTGTGTATTTGCAGTTGTCAGTTGTACCATGGTGTTTCTGCTTGCACAGTTCTTTGTCAGTGTGTAGCAACCTCCTGCCCTTTGACCAGGGGGTAGGATTTAGTACTTCAAGTTTTTTTCCCAGACCATATGAGAAAGCACTAGATGTCCGTCAGAAAATATCTGATGGGTTGTAAATTCAGTTAGCTCAGTAGCTGGTTTTGCAAGTATGTAATACAAACAAGTTACCAGGTTATAATTCCAGTAAAATGGAGTTTGTGAGAATTAATAGGCTGTGTTTTCCTCTTCAGGGTAAAGGCACTACCCCACTTGCTCCACCACCAAAGCCTATTCGCAGAAGATTAAAATCAGAAGATGAGCTAAGACCTGAAGCTGAGGAACATACACAGAAAACAGGTGTCATAGCTGCTGTTCTTGCTTCACAGCCATCTATTCCTAGGTAACCCAAGAAGTGTATCAATACATCTGTTACTGGAAAATTTACATTTAAAGAGCATACACGCTTTCTTTTCCAGGAGTTGCGAAAAATTTCAGTGTGCTTAAACTAAATTAATTTAACAGTTTAAAGGGTTTTGGTTTTTAAACAAGATCATCCCAAAGCCTCTACCACTTGGAGACCTTTTAGAGATCTTGAATTTTGGAGTGTGAATTCTTTTTTTAACTTCTGCAAGTATGTTGGAAATAAGTGGTGGTAGTACTAAGATGTAGTGTTTAATTTGAAATAATGGTTGCTATGAACAGTCCAAAATGTGCAGTCTTTGTGTCCTAGCATGAAAGTAGACTATTACATTAATAACTTTGAGGTAAATGAATGTGGTATGGTGTGTTGGGACTTAAGAAAATTGATTGTGACAAGTTTTTAAAATGTGCTGCTTGATGTTTCATTGAAACCAAGTATGTGTGGCTTCCATGCAAACAAACAAGGTTAATCGAGCCAGGCAGAAGAGGGAAAATTAACAGTGTAACAAGTTAAAAAAATTTGAAAAGAGGATTCTGCTCATTTAAAAAAGAGGGACTGTAAATGAGATACTCAGCTAAGCAATGAAATGACTTATTACAATACTTCTAATATATTCTCAGATCAGTGGGGAAAGACAAGAAGGCAATTCAGGCATCAATCAGACGTAACAAGGAAACCAACACTGTTTTGGCCAGATTGAATAGTGAACTACAGCAGCAACTAAAGGTAATTCCGTAGTCTTTGTTCAAGAGAAGAGCCTGAGAGGGCAAGATGTTAGTGAGGCACAGTAGCAGGCATCTCTGCAAACCAATGATATACATATTAGAGGATGTTGATACAAAATATTTAGTTGTTTTTGTAGATCATAGAACATACCTAATTGTGACAAGCTTTGTGAAATTACAAAGGACTCTTTTACTACTACAAAACACGTTTTTCAATGTATTGATTTGCTTTCAGCTACACTAAAAATAAAAATCAGAAATCTTAACTTAGTATTAATAACTAGAGGTAGCTGTTGTGATCATCAGATACTTTAAAAAGCAGTACTGAGAACAGTAGCTGAAGGGGTTTGCTTTCTTCTGAAGGAAAAAGCAAACCTTAAAGTCTTAATAAAATAATAAATATTTTTAAACACAATAATCTGGAATGCAAAACTTGCAGTTTAATAAGAACAATAGTCATCTGTTTATTTAGGTCAGCTATTACTGTTTTGGATTTATCTGTAGGCACCATCTTAACATCTTTCTCTTGGCATCTTTCTTACCTTAAGATATCTACTTTAATTATCAAGTTAATATAAAAAAACCCCAAAACTTAAATGTGAACATGAATTAATGTGATACTGTCTAGACTGGAAGATAGGACATTTTAAAAACTTATCAAGCCTGAATTTCACTTGTTACTATTTATGAGAATCAAGGTGCATAAAATTCACGTAACAGGAAAAACTGGGGAAAAAACCCTGAGCTTCCAATCTTTTAACAGAGATGAGAGCTTACCCCCTTAACATTTTAGACTTCATTTGAAAACATTATAGTTGGGTTTGCAGCTGGTTACAACTTTGTGGTTTGGGGTGATTTGAAAGAAATGAAAAAATACTAAATGGCTTCACCTTTGAGCAAAATATTGATTTTCATTTATGAGTAATTACTAGCTAGCCAATCTTCCATTCAGATTACCAGAAGAGTTCTCCACATTCTAGAAAAGACATTAGTTCTCAAAACTGAAGCTGACATTTAACAGTTTTGATCACATGAGGAAATTTTTAATATTCATTCTCTGTGGACAGTCAGAAAAATCTTTCTTTTGTAGGATGTTCTTGAAGAGAGAATTTCCCTGGAAGTCCAACTGGAACAACTTCGACCCTTCTCTCACCTCTAAGCCTACTGCCGTTAACTGTGAATTTACTAATTTTGAAAGGGGTATTGGTTTCAAAGCCTATTTAAAGATCCATGCATCTAGCTCAGTGCACTCTATTCTACATTAAATGTTGTGGTTCTGTTTTGTCAATTTGTCCACTTTTGTATTTAAGTATTTTACTTTCAGTACAGAGAAAACAAAAACTTTTTCCTTGAATGTGACACTGCCTCTCATAATTTTCTGTGGGCATCCGTGATCTTTGTTGGACTTGAGTTTGCAGAGTTCGTCACCAAAATTTCCAACTGGAATTTTTTAGTGGTTTCTTTTTTCCCCGTTTAGACATCTTTGCAGAAGAGGATTGCTAATCAGTTGACTTTAAGCACATAAAATATTCTTTCGCTGTGGCATTTATTTTACTGTGCCAGAAAAGAGAAAAACTAGTAATCTGTCATCAGCCAATGTTACTTCCCAAGCTACCTTTCACAATTGGAAAGTTGTTCACAATTCTAGAAAGCCTGCCACTTTGCAATAAACCAACTTATTCAGGTTGACAGAGTTTTTGCAGGCTGCTTGCCATATCAACTGGATTTGACTTTGTGTTTTTGTTGCATACATTATAGAGTATGTAACCACAGATTGCCAGGTGTTCACATTTTATCCATTCATGATCCCAATTCAGCCGCATGCATATAAAGATTTATGGTACAATTGGTAGTCTATCAAACAGACCTTTTTCAGTCCTCTCTTTTGTGAAAAGGGTTGGGTGTAAATCCCCAGCATATTAATTACACATTACCTAAGCACCACCTGTAATTGCATGTTTCACACATTACCTTTTAATAACAGATCACATCCACCAGTCTTCACTGTAACAAATTGTATTGTCAAGTAATGTGTCAATACCTCTATGAACTTCTAATTCCCAGAAAAAAAAAAAAAAGAAAAAAAAAAACCAAAAAAAAACCCAAACAAAAAACGAACAGTTTGCTTCTTAGGAATTTTGGGGTACCTTCTGTCATCTTGTTTCCAGGCCTTATTTCTCTGGCATATAGACAGGCTTCACTATTAACAGAGTTCCCTGAGTGTATCCTGCTATTCAGGTTGATGTACTGTATTAGGATTTGTTGTATATTGTACGATACACACCTTTTGATCTCATATGTAAATTTGCATTAATTGCTGACTAACAGCAGATATTCTATTTAATGGCTTCTTCTGGCTGTGGGATCATAGATGTTTAACTGCATGGATGTATCTCTGCAGAATCAGAACTAGCAATTGTGTGATTTTTACACCAATAAAACAGCACAATATTTTAATTTTGTTGATTCATCTTTACCTGGGAATTGAAACTCATTCAGATGGGGGGAGGGTTTTATTACAGGTCTGCAGGGAATTTTTTGTAATTTTGTGGCATGTACGAGAAATAGTTGATCATAATCCCTTGACCATTTTCTTCCCTCATTTTTTAGCTGTTGGTCAGAAGTGATCAAATTCTCTTGGTAATCTGTGGCTATACTCCTTTTGTATCCTCCTATAAGCAAATTTAATACAGTTGTAACTTCTAAAAAGTAAACGCTAGTACTGACTTGGGTCGAAGAAATATATAGTTCTTTAGTCTTCATTTCTGGTTTGATTTCCTTGAGAATACCTTTCAAAATTAAAACTAAATGGATCTCCTGTTAGCAGTCCTTATCCTCGCAGTGTCACTTCTGTGCTTAAATGAAATTCTCTTAACATCTGCTTCCTTTCCAAAAGGATAGCTCAAGACAGATTTTTCTGCTGGATATGCTGTTTGTTACAGTGAAAAAGAAGTATTTCTCTTTTTGGTTATCATATACAGACTGGATAATTATGGTTAATTTTTATTACTATAACTATTCCAACATTTTTTCAAATGTCATGGAAGTGTTGCAGAATGGCTTATGTATATAATCCAAAGCAAGATTCCCTGGTATGAAAGACACAAATGTCATAGTTGCATGAAAGGTGGTACTTTCTATTTGCATGTAAAGGGATTAAGAAATGATAGCTAAATGGGCACAAAGGTTACATATGAATTACATATCAACTATGTCTTGCCAATTAGTAGATAAAGTACAAGACTTTGACTTCAAAAAATAAGATATAACTCGGGAAATGAAAAAAAAAACCAACAAAAAAACCCAAACAACAACCAAACAAAAAAACCCCAAAACCAAAACCCAAAACAAACCTAAAAAACTTTAAAGTAGATGGACTAATCACTTCTGTTATAACTGCCAAGTAGCAAGAACGGTGTTTAGAAAAGTGGGTCACTTACTGTAGTTAAAGAATGTTGATTTCAAACCAACTGGATCTTGTCCATAGTTTATTTTAAATTTAAAAATACTTTTTTAAAATAGTACTATTTTCATATTAATATTTAAGTATTAAGCCTATGTTTATAGCAGCAGGATTCATAAATCAGAATTTAACATTTTAAGCTTAAATGTGAAAAGCCTTTTACATTCAAATATGACACGTACATATGATTTTCTGTAACATCAATGTCTTTCTAGTAGAATGACAAGTTAGTGTCTCAAGTGAAGAACTTGGGCAATCTGAACATTTTTGTGTCTTGCCAACAAGTCTATTTTTTAGGATTTTTGTGGATTACTTTTAATGCATCATTCAGTATGTTTTAAACCAGTTTTTCATGATCAGAAGAACTTCTAACTGAAAAATTACTTATGTCTTAAGAACATCACTGCCAATGATGTTCAGAAGTTACCTCACTTAGTAATGTAACCCAACTTTAATCCCTTATAAAATTATTTCCCTGTCTTTGCCATTTGTTTGATCTTGATCCAGCTACTTGATACATTCTTTTTTATGAACTTAGATTGTAAGCTCTTTGGGGCAAGGAATTATGTACCATACAAGAGATGCTCTCTATATTGCAAGCATAAATGTAGACTACTAAATAGTATGGAGTGTGATTCATGTACCCAGCTAGGATGGATGGACAGCAGCATGCATTTCTGAAACACCTGCAAAATGTTTTTCTTTGGAATTTGTGATTGGAGGAGTGTCTGTCTTTTTTTTTTATTTGTGTTTCCTTTGTTTCTCCTATTAATGTGCCTCTTTCTTCATTCCACCTGCTTTGGAGTTGCTTTTTTCTCCATTCATTACCTATCTTTGGACTGCAGAGAAGATTTCCAAAATGCAAAGGTAAAAAGCTGAAAAGCCACTTTTTATGAGCAGTATTTTAAGTCTACCCAATGTAAGCTAGTATTTTCAATTTTTTTGTACTTCACATGCCCCTCATTTTACTTGCAATTGTATAGTACATGAACTAGAGGATCTCTTATTACTGAAAATGTCTTATGTGGGATAAACAAAGTTGAGGTTATAAAAACTCAAAGCTAAAGAAAATAAATTTGCAGCATTGTTTCTTGTGTGAGGTGTCTCTGTCCCTTATGGATGGGGTGTGCTGTGTTTCTGCTCTACATTTAGGGCAAAGTTGAGTTATTCTCCTGGGTTCAGCTATGTACAGAGTTTGTCTCTAAATGCAACTTTATGGATGACCTAGTCTTAATCACTTTTTCCTAAAAGAACAAAAAAATTAAAAGGAAAAAATAAACACACTGTCTCTTGACTCATTCTGCTCTTAGTTTCTAGTAGAATGTAGTTTCATGAAATGGTAATGTGTTACAAAAACATGTTACTCCCAAGTTAGTAATAACAATGCAATTCTTAATCTGTGTAGAAGGTTAAAAAATAACTTGAGTATTTTGAACATGCTTGCATGCTTTAGTTTCTTAAATACTTTACAAAGCAGTCTATGTGCAGTTGAGTATTCATTTATACTCCCCAAAGTTCTATTTTTGAGACATACAACTTAATTTCACAAGCAGAATTCCAGCTTGTTTTGCCATGCATATTGATGTACTAATCATTTATAATACAGCTCTCTAGAAGAAAACACACGAAAACCAAGGACTTTGTTCTCTAACAGCAAACAAATTTTCAATAGACTTAGTCTTTGAAAACAACTAACTAGTGGTTGTATAGGAACAAATGTTAATGTCTATATACTCATAACCAAATGAGACTATACAGTGTTGTCCTGATAATTAGTGCCCAAGCAAAATAGAAACCTTTTTTTTTCCACAGGAGTCTTTAAATTAATTGCTTTTCAAAATTCAGTTACATGTTTGGGGGGAGGGTTTAATAGTGTGTAATTTACTTTGAGTAATGCTTCTTTAAATTGGCCAAATAGGTTTTAAATGTGCAATTCCTGCTTTAAAGCTAGATTGTACACTAATTGTACCTGATCGTACACTATTAGTGTATTCCAAAGTGATTTTACAATACTTTTTTCCAGCTTACTGATATATAGGTATTCAATGTCTTGCATTTAAGTTATTGTCAGAAACAGCCCTTGTTTCATTATAATACTCAAAAATTCAGAATTGTAACTCTATGAAATACTAAGTTTGTGATCTCGCAGCTTATATCTGAAATTTTAAGACAACTTTTAGTACTATTTATCACACTGACAGCATACTGCAACACAGAAAGCTACATGAATTCTCTTCTATCTCTGGTAGAATATGTTCTTTACACTTTCACTTTTACAGATATTAAGAATGCATCTAATCAGGAAGCAGTTGAAATTACTCTGTTGTTTTGACTGGTCTTGATTATGAGCGACCTAGGAAGTGAACAAAACATAAATAGCAAAAGCAATTTAAACTGACATTTAGTGGTATATTAATGAAAAAAGAAATTCTAGCAATACTGCTGTGGAACCTTATGTGACTGGAGTGTTTTTTTCCCAGAGAGATACATCCTATTCTACAATGCATGTAAACTCTTTGATATATCTCATGTAACAGCAATGGTGGCTTTTGCTTTCTGTCATCTAACTTCAGAGGTCTAACTGTATTTCTCTCTCTGGCTCAAATAAGACTGCATTTAAACTGACAGAAGAGGGTATGGTCCATGGAGTGGAACAAGTTAAATGTACGAAACAGCACTTTGAATTGGGAATGTCTTCTGCAAGGAGCCTGTTGTCTTTGGTATCCATTCAAAAGGCAAAAAAGAAAGACTAGCATTTGAAAGAACAGATGCATATTGAGAAAGAAGGCACTAAAATCAATTATTTGCCCTAACATGCAGTTGGGGTAGCAGGGAGTGGAATGAGCATTACAGCAGTTGCTATAAACTGCAAACACTTGTGTATGTGAACACTTGTTAAGGGCTTCTGAAGGTCTAGCATACATGATGGGCTATGTCAGACTTAGCAAAAAGGTATGTATAGTAGGTAGATTCAGCAATATATGATTTCTCAGCAGAAGTCGAAGGAAATACTTGGGGAACCCTTATGGTATCTTAGGAGTGTGTTTCATTAAACTGCTACAGAATTCAGCACTCTACTAAGTGCTGTTGTGCCTTATTTTGCAGATCATCTTGAACTGATAAAAAGCTTGACTTCAGTCTAAGTATGAAAATACAGTATGTATTTCAAGAAAAAGTTCATGAAAGGAATTTATAGGAAGTTGTAATTCAATGTGTTCTATCAGAAAATGCAGAAGTGATGTGCCTCCAACTTTAACTTGTTTTTTTTCTGTTATGTATCCCTGCCTGTGGAAGAAGAGTGCTGCAGTTTACAACAAACCCTTCTCTAGAGCTTCAATCCCATTGTCTTTCACTGCCCTCATGAAGGAACTTAGTTACCTGCTTTCTGATCTGAAGGAACGAAGAGGTCACAGAAGAATCAAGAGGTCCTTTTGCTGTAGAAGGGTACTTGAATATATTCCTTGGTTTGCTCTGCACTTTGTCTTTGAGGATAAAGTAGTGTTGAAGCAAGAAAATTCCTGTGGAAAAGCAGTATTAATTCACATGTCATTTTATCAAAATTAAGAGGCTGATCCATTTTGATTGATATTATTGTTTCCGC